CCAGGCAAATGTCGTACATGTATAAGGTCGCACTTTTTGTATTTCGCCACGGTCAAAATGTCATCATATTCAATGGCACACTTTCAATTATTAAACATTAAACAAGTAAACGAATACGACAGCGCATTGAAATTCAAAATGTTCATATAAATTAAACGTACGAGGGTTGTTCAAAAAGTAATAGGACTAAGAGTCTTATGTCTCCATATTCCATTTGATTTTAAATATTTTCAAATCCACGGCAATAGTTAATTGTTTTTTACAACTTCAGTTTAAGTTTATTGAATTATTGCACTAAACGCGTGTTCCCTGTGATATTAAATAACCATGGTAACACGCACCCGGCGCAGCGCATCAAAAATATGTTGACGCTAATCTGTACTTTCAGTTTATTCATAATATGTTGTATTTTCCCCCCTAATATTTCACCAACACATTTTATCATATTAAAGTGTCATGTTGTCCAAATTTGACGTCATTCAGACCAGAAATCGCTAAACTATAACGTTTTGAACAGCAGTGATAATAGAGTTAAATGTAGAAAAATGACGTTCGTTGAAAAACTTAAAATGTGTACGATCATTAAATTTTGCCAAAAGATAGGCCCTACTCCTTCAGCTACGTAAGGAAAGATTAAATTTTCACAGAACAATAATAAGGCAATTAGGACACTCAATTTCAGCTGGGGAAAGCAGTTCAAAGACGGTGAATATGGGATCACAGACACGAAAGGGCTAGGGAGAAAGCGGAAAATTGACGGACGTTAGAGACGTTAATTGCAATAGCGCTACAAAAGTATCGGCGATATACAGTCCGCGAACTGTCCGGCATGTTTGATGTTTGCATCAGGTCTACTGTTTCAGTTCTTAGAAAATTATTGAAAAGGGGAAATTTGTTTTAAACACTATTTTATTTTATTAGATATTTATGTGTGTGTGTGTGTTATCATTGAATAAATTTGATAATGATACGCGGTAATTATTGGTATCAAGTTTTTCTCGATTTGGTTTAATAAATGATAACCTGTGCTCAGAAGAAAGAATATTTTTCAATTAATAAGCATTTTTAATTTACTGTAAATAATCATATTGTTTTTAGAATGTAAGATGGCATGTGTAAATAAATAATATAAATCACTTTGTCATTTACATTATATGTCCATGCCCGTTTAGCTTCCAGAATACTCAAAATCACGAGATAAAACCGAAAGTTGCCGGCCACCGGGCATGTTTCGAATAAAGAAAAGAAAATGTGATTGCTTTTTTCGCTACATCACCACAGATGAGTTCTGGTTATAGTTACATTATTTAAGCACCTAGAACATTGTGGAGAATAATTTCAGAAAGAATGACGCTGTTTACATTTTGAATTTATTTTGCGACGTCATGAACGTCATTTATTTAACTATTAGCGTGCGCCGGGTCGCGTACCCCTTGTCATTTATAAGTTGTACAGAATTGTTGTTTGTAAACATATTGTATTGATTTTTTCACTGTATATAGAGGACAAGTTCCGATATTCGATTTTTGTAAACTCGTGTACGTAGATGAAAAAATGTGAACAGTAGAGCTGCAGTCCTATTACTTTTTGAACAACCCTCGTACTTATATTTCGTAGTAATGATCTCGAAATGATATTTTGTCACCGTCGCATTTGTTATCATGACATTGTCCCACTTCGTTTTTATGATTAATTGCAACGTGTATCTTGTACGTGTTTTTGTGTAATTAAGCTTAAGTCGACATTAGATGATTTAAATCTAGATGACAAACTTTTATGTGGATTTTCTAAAATATAAATATTTGTCAAATTTTAAATAAATCAGCCCTGATGCTACTAAAATTTATAAAAACCTTTGAGTTTATTTTGATTTTAAAGTGCAATAGTAAAACGTTTTCCTAGTTAATGTATGCATCATAAACACATAATTAAACGTTGTATAATGTGCACTTTAAGCTGTCTGTATTTAACGCCACACGGATAATCAAATTAACGATCTCTATATCACAGGTGGATCATGAGGTACTTTAATTCCAACACAACACAGCATGACATAACATTTAACGTTGTATCTATCAGGATAACATTTCGCGTGTCTATGAAAATACTTAAATAGTTAGACGCACATAATTACGTTTTCACGTATGTGCAATAGATATAGCAGCATCTGTAAGATTAATTAGTTAGACGCACGTAATGACGGTCACGTATGTGCCATAAATATAACAGCATCTGTAAGATTAATTAGTTAGGCGTACGTAATTACGGTCACGTATGTGCCATAAAAAGATCAGGATCCGTAAGATTAATTAGTTAGACGCAATTAATTACGGTCACGTATGTGCCATAAATATAACAGCATCTGTAAGATTAATTAGTTAGACGCAAGTAATTACGGTCACGTATGTGCCATAAAAAGATCAGGATCTGTAAGATAAATTAGTTAGACGCAAGTAATTACGGTCACGTATGTGCCATAAATATAACAGCATCTGTAAGATTAATTAGTTAGACGCACGTAATTACGGTCACGTATGTGCAATAAATAATTCAGCCTATGTAAGATTAAGAACAGAACAGATGTTTTATTTCGTAACGTATGCAATACTGTTTCGTGTTACATTACACATATCAAATATTAACCCATATATTGTTGCAGAAAAATTGATTTTGAATAAAATAAAAGTATATCAGAATAATTTCATTTTTAATATTAGCATAATCTCATTTTGATATAAACATAACTAGCGAAAGCTAAACGTTTACAATATCTATGAAAATATAACATCATTTTAACCTTACATTTATGTATAATCTTAGCTTATCAATATCTCTTTTCTTTTACTATTTGCAAAAAGAAATAAATTTGCATACATTTAATGACATAGACTTTTCACATGACTTAAGGGTACAACACACTATGTCGTCATATTTTAAGATTAATGAACTCTTTAAAAGTATTTAAGATATGAACATTATCACAGTTTCATTTTAATGAGTGAAATAAAGTGTCTTATTTCATTGCACCATTAACTTGTTAAAACATCTTTCAAATTGTGTTTGAAAAAGTGACGCTCCAAGACATCTATATTAAAACACATAATAATTATATTAGATTTGCACGCACAAAAAATCAAAATAAGTTTGCAACATTACAAGTTTTACATTTTTGAAAGCATTTCATATGAATAATATTATCATTTTGTAACTTTTACCATTTAGTCAATAACTTGGTAGTAACATAAAAAACTTTAACACTACATTTAATATTGATTCAAAATATCAAAAAAGTAGCAAACATTATTATACGCCCTTTTCTATTTGTACTGGTTTGATCACGTCACTTAACGCTTATCATAACTTGTAAATTCCAATTTACATAATTACATTATAAAAAATGTCAAGAAAAAAAGATAACAACCAACATACAGACAGACACATTAAGACTAAAAAATAAATAGCGACAAAAATTGTCTACGAAGACAGGAAAAACGTGTGTTTTTATATTAATAATGATGATGATGATGATAATGCAGCTGCTGCTTCTGATGATGATGATGATGATGATAATAATAATAATAATAATAATAATAATAATAATAATAATAATAATAATAATATGTTAATAATAACAGGTTTGGAGCGTGTAAGATGCTGATGTTTTATAAATAAGTAGCAAAATGCCAGCAAAGTGATGTTTTTGTAATCATTGAAAAATACTAAAGTCATCTGTCATAATCATTTTACATTCAGTAAAGATGCCAAAAATTCGCAAAAAAAGGTTTATGGTCAATGATGACATCTTTGGGATAAAAACGTGAATTGCCTAAGAGATAAGAATATAGATACTTAAATACATTAACCTAATATGAATTACAAAATGGAGAAAAATGGAGTCCCTCAAAACGTCCAAAACGCCAACAATGAAAATATTGCAGGCTCAGTTTCATTGAGCCTGTTCATGGACCATTATGACAAGTTAAAGTTACTGTCCATTCCCCTAGCACCGGCTTACGCAGACTTCAACATTTAAACATGGTAATATAATTCAATATCGTTTCTCAAACTGAATGTAACTATTCATCATATAAATTTAATGTTAATCCGTTTGCTTATTGCGTAATACTATGCTGATACAATGTGCAGAATTGACACATTTATCTGATCAAAATATAATTATGTTATATACTACTCAACTTTTGTTAAGCACTTATGTCTGAGAATGGAAATTTCGGGATAATTTTATTAACGCCGTGCAAAAGGTTTTACATGTTGATTTACTGATTTATAAATTCAGCTGAAAGAAACACGGACACCGTCCCATAAGCAAGGTCATTTCGAAGAGAAGTTGATCGCGAAAACCTCGCACGACGAGCCTGAACGACCAAAAACCGATCTTGAGTTTGCCGCACTCCAGCATGCCTTCTGGCGGGTGTACCATGTAGCCGGTATCTTTTCCAGGCTCTGGTGTACACGAAGCGCCGCACCAATTTGATGGAAGTTCCCCAACTTCACCATCCCTGCAGCCCTTCATTACTCTGTTTCTCTCAAAAGCTTTCGCCATATCGAAATGACAGATGTAAGAAATGTAAGCCACCGAATGACAATTAACCGGTAAATTCGCGGTATTACAAAAGACATGTGATTGTACTTCCCATCAAAAATATGAAAATATTTGGGTACATGCTTTTTATGCCACCTAGACGACTTGTATTGCATAAGTCAACTCGGATCATGTCAGGGGACTATGTCAAACATTCCTGAATCAGAATTTTTAAAAAAATAGAAAGAAATCTGTATTATACTTGTGACAATATAAAAAGTTATCTTTTGGTGCTTAGGAAAAGTTGAGTAGTATATATACAAAAACTCATAATAAAACTTCCCAATTACCTCTCTTAAACTTTCGATGCGTGCAAGAAAAAAAATCCATCTGCTCACCCCCTCTCTCTATATATATAGACAGATAGATTCTTAATTTCAACTGCGCATTGGACTTACTGGATTAATATGCGGGTAGGTGATATCCATTTGCTTTCATGAGCTTAAGACTCATATAAAAATTGTAAAAAAATAGTCTACAAGAAATGTTAAAAGTTTAATTGGGGTTCTTGATTTATTGCCGGAAGTTTTTTGCTGTTCTCCTGTTTCTGTTGTTTTTTGTTTTTTTCGCAGTTTAATCATATTGTTTAGGCACATGTTTTCCAAGACAATTGTTTAGCAAGTGAAAAACATTTATATTGATCAATTGAAAGCTGGCATTTTTAACTAAACTTGAGTGCCAAGATTAAATGTATGTGTGCCATGAAATTTTGTTTCCATACTTTTTCATTAAACTTAATTATGACATTCTTCCAAATTAGTTATTTGAACTTTCGGATGACATTTTGTCCATGATAAGAAATCATATTTCCCGAAACGGGTTATCTATTCTATGTAACTGATTTTTCATAAAGTCAGCACCTAATTTTGAGAGATTATATATTTCCTGAAAAGAATGTTAGATGATGTTTTTCCCATTTTTTTCTTTTCATTGAACAAAAATGCCTGATCCTACCCAACTTTGGAGATTGAATTAAGGATTTTAGTTCAAGGATATTTGAGCCACCTTCTGAAATCGGTTAAATAATAACTTCTCGTTTAATCTTTTTTCTTGAGATATTCAACAAAAAATTGAAATAGAGATATTCCACAAAAAAAAATAGAAATAGGGATATTCCACACAAAAAATAGATGTTTCTAGTTCTTTGATTATTTCGTTGGGCGGATTTAGAAGATAAATAAGTAAATGATTGATTTTTGATAAAACCTATGTTTTAATAACAGTTATTTTTCGCATAAGGGGTTAGAATTCTTTTCGACCATAATTGTTGTAATAATTATTTTATATCTGCTTCAATCCAACAGTGAAAGTCGGAGGCTCATCGATTCTTGACAGAAAGGTATAATAATATTTGTTGCTGATTTGATAATGATGGTCAATATCATAGTTTACCATCTATACAAAATATTCCACAAATAAACAAAACATTCCTGCAACATGAGAGACTTTTAAGATCCGTAACAAATTTAAGAGTTAAACTTGAAATATGTACTGAACAATTTAATACTTTGAAACCAATCATTCCCAAACAAATTCATGTGATCACACAAAACATAAAAGGCTGCCATCCTATCCATGAAATATAAGTAAACAATAAAATAAAACACCCAACGTCTCAAAAATGGAAACATGAACTATTTTTACCCGAACCTTTAGAATGGAAAAAAGTTTATACAACAGTTCACAAAATTACGTCAGATACTTACTTAAGGTACTTCCAGTACAAATTAATCAATAGAACCCTAGCAACAAATACGTTTTTAACTAAGATTGGAATAAAAAGTGACAATATGTGTTCTTTTTGTAGGGAAAATAACGAAACACTCTTAAATCTTTTTTATGAATATCGGTATGGTAGTCAAGTTTGGCAGACTTAAATATAAATGTCCAAATATAACAGATTTTGAACTCTAAAAAAGAAGTTCTTTTTGGTATAACTAATCCATAATCAAAACAAAAACGGATGAAACATTAAATTTTATTTTTCTTGCTGCAAAAAAAAAGATATTTTTACACGTGTAGGTTTAATAACTAAAACTTCAATATACAAACTTTTCATAAAAGGTCAGTTTTTCATTATAATGTAGAAAAGTATATCAAATATTCTTCTTGTAACTAGGATGAATTAAATAATAGATGGTCTCCTTATCAAACTCGTTATAATGTTACAGCTCCTAATTGAATAATTATCTAAATATACTGTTAACTCACATTAAAACACTAGGAAATTTAATGTAATGTTAATAACAATCTTAAAAATGATAATAAAAAACTATAATACCATCCAGAGCCAGAAATGTGTCATATACATGTAAGGTGTTTTTTTTTATAGTCTTCAGTCATTATAATATGATACATATATGTTAGTGACACAACACAAAAATAGCTTCGGGTAACCAGTACATCAAACATACATACATATTGTACACTTCCAATAGAGTGATATTTACTCTCTTTAGGCTCTTTGTAGAATCATGTGGTAAAAAATGTTATCAATAATTTCAAACAATTACAGGTATGTTGTTTTACATCAACACACAAAATTATTAAGATATTGAGATTGATGGAGCTGTCACATACATATTTGACTCATCGAGAAGTAGGGGGTACTCCTGACTCCCGACCTTCATTAGGGGTCGAGGGTTGGGAATGCAACTGGCACGGCCTGGGGCGCGCATGGCCGCAGAAAGACAGTTTTGGAGCTTCTGAACCAGATCGTGCCCTTGAGGAGTTCAGGTCCACGATAGAGTAGGCGGAGACAGTTCTGACTGATTTTGATATTATTTGTTTAAAATCATTTAATGTAAAATGTAACTGTTTATTTTTGAAAAATTACATTAAACCAGGAAGAAAAGCTAAGCAATTTTGTTCTTCTATTAATGGAAGTAAACTTTTTAACATATGTTAGGTGAATTATGGCAGTTACCATTTGAAAATCTAGCCTTAGTTCTGACTTTATATACTTTTAAGATATCTTTATTATTTCATTGTATTGTATTTTTCTTTTACAGGCTTTTATACAGGGCAGCATTGTCCTTTGTTTGATCAGTTGTTGTTACACAGCTATTCCGAGCAAAGATGAGGTGCTGGCTGCCCTTGCAAAGGCAAAGAAGATTGGCCTCACCGAAGAAAAACTCGAGAAAATAGAGCAAAACCGTATGTTATCTAAATTCCCTAAATAAATGATTTTTTTTCGTGTTCTATCTCTGTGAAACAAGGATAAAAACCAGTTACTGATTGAAAACAATGTACGTAGCTATGCTTAAATCTCAGCTCATACACTGTATATTTAAAGTAGTTTATGTCTCAGAACCGAACACAAATGAGCCTCGTCATGACAAAACCAACATAGTGCGTTTGCGACCAGCATGAATCCAGACCAGCCTGCGAATCCGCGCAGTCTGGTCAGGATCCATGCTGCTCGCTTACAAACCCTATAACAAGTAGAGAAACTGATAGCGAACAGCATGAATCCTGATCAGACTGCGCGTATGTCATGTATGTGCAGGCTATTCTGGATCTATGCTGGTCGCAAACGCACTATGTTGGTTTTGTCGTGACGCGCTTAATGTACTTCAACTTGACTTTTATAGTTTGAAAGTGTATAAGATGTTTACCACTTGACAAAAAGAAGTAAGACTCAGTAGCCACTAAAAGTAGCATAATATAAACGAAATGTATTTTAACTTCCACACAACATATATAATCACTGGAACTTGATCAATGGCCAAAAAGCATAAAAAATACGAAAAAAAAAATCACCAGGGATATTGCCAATGAGTGCGAGGTTTAGAAACTGTTACAGTGCAGTAAAAATAAAAATAAAGCCTTTTGAAACAGTTAACACTATTATTATCGGATATAAAGGGCCTTTGATGTTTATAATTCATTCATGTATATGATCATTTTAAGCTTAAATATAAAGTTTACAGGGTTTTTCAAACATAATGTTTATCTTGCATTTAAAAAAACAAAACAAAACAAGAACAAACAAAAAAAACAAACAACAACAACATCTACCCCCTCCCATGAACAAAACAAAACAACAAACAAACAAAACTCGAACAATGAGTGGCTTTTACAAAATAATTGATCTGATTTATTTACTATTCTGTAATCGATTTCCCGCTTTTGCTGAAGTGGTATGTATAGCAAGACTTCATTAACAATGTACTACTACCTTAACAGTTTTAATTGGTTCATTAATTGGTTGATTTTTCTGTATATTTCAATATGAAATAAATGTGCATTAACATAAAAATAACAAAGCATGCTAATAGCAGGTAAAGAGCAAAGGTCGAGAATACAAGGTTTGTAAAAAGAATTTTTATGTTGATAGTTTTAAGTATCATACCTGACAAAAACTAAGGAAAGAATTATATTTGGATGTTATTGGTAAATGTTATGTAATCCAATATAACATACCTATATATTGCTGATAATTAATTATTCTAGACAGAATGATATCATTTATTAAGCAAATGTTTATACTTAGCAACTCAAAACTATAAGGGATATACATATATATTGCGGAAATTAATATTTTTGGATCTAATACGACATCAACAAATAAATGCTGCCGTATCGGATACTTGGCTAAACTGTCGCATTTTTAATGAATACATCACATATCTAAAAGTAGATTAAAGAATAAACATATCTCACTTTTTAGCCAGGGGGCTACCCCCTAAGCTTATTACCAAGAGTAAAGAGAACTTAGTATTACGACGGTTAATTTCGCTGATTTCAAACCATTTGCCCCTTGTCGTTGTGGGTTTGAATCCCGTCAGGGGACGTCTAATTTTTCAAATGAGGAAACTATCTGGCTTAGTATTCCTACTCAGGTGCCTGTATGAGCCTGAAATATTGAAACCAGTAAAACTTGAAAGACGCCATATGCACTTTTACAGTGTCGGCTAGACAGACTTAAACTATATTCAATAAACAACTTCTAGTAAAAAAAAAATGCACATGTGCGATTTGCAAATGCACACATTCCTTTCATCTTTAATATATTTACATTTTTTATTTATAGATAAAATAAATTGCATCTGCGTATGCACTTAACATTGCAAAGTGTCATTAACGAAATATATATTTATTTTAAATGCGTTTAAAGCTGCATTTAATAAATTTCATAAAAACATAAATGAATAAATTGGGTTTCATATCGACTACAGATCGTATTGAGGTTTTCTAGTCAACCAAAATTAGTCTTATAAGCATACAAATCTGCAACCTCAAAGCGGCGAAGTACAATTTGCATAAGAAACTCAGCCTCAGGATCATCCGTACAGATAAAATGAACAAACATAGCTAATAGTAACAGTATATTTCCGCATTGTAACAGGTGTTTTCATACAAATTTAATCTTTTTGTAATGGCATGATTACTTCTTTTTTAAACGCCAGACCTAATGCACATTGAAGCTAAAACAGATGAAGTGTATTTGCACAAGAAAATATCATATTTGTTGGGTTCTGGATAGCACCTATGATACTGTAACGTAGCCGAATAATACACGGTTCGTGTTTTTATCATGCAGGTCAATGGACACCATTTATTTTGTACACCTTCGGGAAAGTTCGTAAGTATCTGTTACAAGGTGATTCCGCTTTGTCAGCCGTGTTTGTTTTCACTGAAGTCTGTCCAAAGTGAAAGTAGGCCAAACTTTATATAACAACAAAGCTCTTATTGTAAAATGATGAGCATTTGAAAGTAAACTTCCAGGTTTATATTTTTAAGGACAATTATAAACAAAAATAAAAATGATAACAATAAGAATATTTACCTTGAATGTGCAACATTTCTGATGACAAAAACATTATGTTGCAAAGTTTTATGCACATTTCATGAATGACAAAATTCTTTTTAAAGTCTGTTTGAGTGCCAACAAAAGCTATTTTTTGCAGCAAATACGAAAAACTTTCAAAATTTAACTCAAAATAAATCAGTATCTCATACCCTTCTAAGCACATGGCCTCCATTATTGTTTTGTAAAAAAGTAGTGCAAGAAAATAATCATAATTTATAGCCTTATGAACTAAAATTAAAATGAAAACACAATCAAACTTTAAAATCTAACCTTTTTATGTGTAACAGTGAAGTGTGTCTGTTTGTCATTTTCACAAGAAATAAATAAATGATTATTATTTCCATGGTGCTAATTTTTTACACATGTCATGGTGGCCATGTTTTTTCAAGGTCAGATAAACTACTTTCCTAAGATTCTAGTTTTTTAAAAGTTGTTTGTATTTCCTGCAAAAAATAGCATTTGTTGGCACTAAAATAGACTTTAAACTGGATTTTGCCATTCATGAAATGTGCATAAAACTTTGCAACGGAATGTTTTTGGTATTCAGAAAATTAGCCCATTTAAGGTAAATTTTCTTATTGTTATCATTGTTATATTTTTGTTTAGAATAGTATTTAAAACATAGAACTGGAAGTGTACTTGCAAATGGCACATCATATAACAATGTGAGCTTTGTTGTCATATGAATTTTGACCTACTTTCACTTTGGACAGACCTTGTGAGCAAAGCGGAATCACCTTAATCAAATGTGATCGACACAACCAATGATAAAGTATCAACATTAACACCATATAGCCACATCCAAACTGCTGCTGTTAATTGCATTTTACAGGTGAAAGAAAAACGTCTCCAAAGTGTCTGATGTCGTTAAGTCATGGTAAACGGATGCACGGAAATGTCGGTATGGACAAAAACGTGAACGCACAAATTCGGGCGATGCGAATTCTTCAATCAGAGTAAGACTTTCATTCTAAATGGAAAGTGATTATTGTTAATCAGATAACAGTTTTTTACCATATTTGTTGTGATGCATTTCTGAATATTCCACGATTAAATCATTAGCAAAACGTAATCCATTTTTTTCCAATTACATTCATTTTGGCTCGCTCATGCGCATGACGTTCATTTAATCACATAATCACTTTTTTAAACAAACCATTAATACTATTACCATTGATACCTTTAACAATTTGATTTAAACATTCAGAAACTTTTTAATTTTGTAACACAGCTTTGGAGACCCAAAATCGTAAATATGTTTTAATTTTAGGAATAATCATAGTTTAGAGGAGGTCACACATGAAGATGTTCTTCACGTATTCAAGACGACTAATGGAGGAACTTGTAATGTCGCCAAGCCTCCAGAAGAATGCGACCCTGACGTCAAGTACAGAAGTGCAGATGGCTCTTGCAATAACTTAAATAATCCTGAATGGGGCATGGCTGGTAGAAGTCAAGATCGCTTACTTCCAAATAAGTATGGTAAATTGTCCACTTTCTTTTCATAAATGTGCATTTATTTATGCAAACCCTTCCAAGAATTACATTTATATTGCTGGCATGATTAGTACAAAGGAGATAATCTGAGTGAGAAATAATACAATTGGAAAATCTCTATTTACCTTCATGAATAGCTAGATCTTGTCCAGCTGGAACCAACATGATAAGCTTTGTCATCAGGACAATAAAAGATAAGGCTGTGCATCCCTGAAATCAGACCAAGTGCTATACTATTTGTTGGGTATTTTCAAAATGTTCACCTTGATATCCCTAAAATGGGCTACAATCAATTTGGAAAATTTAAGCTAGACAAGATCATTTAAGTGATAAAGACATAATTTTCTCTGTCACAAGGAGAAATTAGTAATACGGAAGTCTTCCTTGTTTTCAATCTGTATCTTAAGTTTGTAACGTACGCAATATGATCTTTCCGTGTGTGCGCTGTTGCAGTGATGCACATAGAATATTTACATCTTAGTTCAATCACACTTTACCCACGCCCAAAATTATCAATGCGAACATCACAGTCATTAGTAACTCCTAACCGTGCAAGTCTGTGGAGTGAACAAGCAACCTTGAAACTAAATTTCCTAACCAAATATAATTTATTGGAAATAAAATTGAAAACTTGAATACGCGTATACAGCTGATCAAATAAAATATATTTTTAAGTATACAAATTTCAAGTAAAGTCCTTGTTTTGTTCTAGATTATTTGAGAGAATGACAATTTGGTCACCGCCTTTACGGTTGTGACTTTGTTCTTCGTTTATAACTGCTACTATTCAATTGAATGTAAATGCAATATAATGCTAAATGTTTATAATATAAGCAACCAAATAACTAAAATAACACCAGAGGCGGCAAACAGATAACTAAAATAATACCCTAGCAACAACCAGATGACTAACATAACACCGAAGTGGTAACCATATAACTAAAATAATACCTGAGGCGGAAACAGTTAACTAATATAACACCCGAAGCGCCAACCAGGTAACTAAAATAACACCCAAGCGACAGAGAGTTAACGTAACTAAGATAAATAAAATAACACCACAGAGGCAACCGGATAACTAAAATATCACACAATGCGGCAACCAGATAACTAAAATAACACCCAATGCGACAACAAGAAACTTGAAACTTGAAACTTTTTATTTAATTAAACGCCTGTTTCTATTTAACAATATTCAACGGCGTTGTACAATACATATAAATATTAAGAATAAAATTGTGAATGCATAAGAATATGTGGATCAACATCAAGTGAAATAAAAGCTTTTACATACAATTCCAATTAACATATTTTTAAAAAATTGCAGAGACCATAAAATGATAAAACTGATTGATATATACATGTAGCATGAGATAAGATTATGTACATACATGTAACTTGATTACAAATGGATTAAAAAGAACAAAACATTCATTTACATTGCACATTCATCACACTGTCAGTCATCAGTTATACGTTACTCATGTTTATCTTATTTCATATTTTAAAATAGTGATTCAAACTTTCTGAAAAAATGTGTTTTAAGATTTCTCTTAAATACATCAATATTCTTAGATTGTTTCAACTCTAATGGCAGCGGATTCCACAATTTTGGACCAATAGTTCCGAAACTTCTGTCACTAAATGTTTTTCTTTTATTGAATGGAATAACGTAGCAGTTCTCAGAGGTTTTAGCTGAACGTAGTCGGGTATTTGGTACTTGTTTGGTTAGGAGTTCAGAAAGGTATTTTGGAGCATGACCGATTGAACAATTGTATACAAAAGTCAAAATTTTATATTCGATTCTAGATTTGATGGGCAGCCAGTGAAGGTCGAACAGTGCTTGCCTTGAACTGTCAAATTTCTTTCGTTGCAGAACTAACTTAGCGCACATGTTTTGAATACGTTGCATTTTTTTCAATTCAAAATCGGATACACCATAAAGAATGACATTGCAATAATCCAAGTGTGACATTACGAGTGCTATAACTAGTATTTCAGCTGCTTCTTTGGTGAGGTATTTTCGGATACGTTTTATTCTAAGATAGTTTAACATTGCAGTACGGCACTTTCGTTTGACATGTACCTTGAAATTTAGTGTTTGGTCTAGAAATGCGCCCAAATATCTAATGGACTCCTCGGAGTTGATCTTATCTCCGTTAATACAAATGGATTTTAGGTGACACTTTTCGAGTTGTTGAGAACTTCCAAATGTTATGAAATCTGTTTTCGATGAGTTCATCTTGAGTTTATTAGCGTTCATCCAGTTGTTGATATCAATCGCACCATTTTCTAATTCAGCGATTGCAGAAATTTCACTATTTTCTTCAGTCGGTTTAAAACGTTTGGTTGCAGTATGGTCATCAGCGAATCCATACACCGATAATCCAGATGGAATCACGTCAAACAAGGTTCCCGCATACGTTAGGTAGAGCCAAGGCCCTAAACAACTACCCTGGGGGACACTGCACTCTAGTTGCCGTGGAGCTGAGACTGCCGAGTTGACACACACGCGACAGCCCCTAGGACGAAGGTATGAATCAAGCCAGCTGAGCACTGAACCGCTCACGCCGTACTGCTTCTGTAGCACGTCGACGAGTATATCATGATCCACAGTGTCGAACGCGGCACTGAGATCAATCGCGATTAGCGCTGTAACTTCTTGTCTTTCCATGGCTGCCAACAGATCATTAACTAATCGCAGTAGAGCAGATTCACAGGAGTGGTATTTTCTGTAGGCGGATTGATTTGTAGGTAGTAAGTCATACTGATCAGCATGTTTATTTAGTATTTTCAGAGCTGCTTTTTCAATCAATTTTGATAAAAACGATAGATTACTCACAGGTCTATAATTTGAGAATACAAGTTCAAGTCCAATTTTTTTCAAAAGTGGTCTCACGATAGCCTCGTTCCATTTATTTGGAAATATTCCTTGCTGTAGTGATAAGTTTACCAGTTTTGTTATAATTGGGAGTAGTTCTCCAAGGAATAGTTTTAATATTGCTGTCGGTAATATGTCCAATTCACAAGATTTTGTCTGTAGTGCATTTATCAGCTCTTTAACATTATCATTTGAAAATTCATCAAAGGCAAGAAGAGATGGAACGTTTCTAGTATTTGGCTCGAATTTATCAAATGGTTTAAGGTCATCACGTATTTTCTCTATTTTATTCATGAAAAATGAGGCAAAGTGTTCGGAGAGCTCACTATCACTGTACCCAGGTGGCATTGGGTTTTCTGATTTAGTTCCTGTTAACTCAGACACTAACTGGTACAGCTTCTTGGAATCACCCTTTGTATTAGTTACTTTTTCACTTATTACTTTTGTTTTCTCTTTTTCGAGTTCATCATTGTACTGGTTCCGAGACTTTTTGAACGATTCATATTGTTGAGGTTGACGATATTTTCTCCATATTTTTTCAGCTTTCCGAGTAGATGTTTTGAGGGTGAGTATTTCGGGAGTGAACCATGGTTTAGGGGCTCTAATTACTTTTGTTATCTCTTTTTCAGGTGCATGAGTGTCCAGAACGTTCTTTATTTTATTTTCAAACTCATTCACGTATAGATTAATATCACTCTGATCTATTGTAATTTCACTGAACTCTTTTCTAACAGATGACTCGTCCATATTTTTAAAGTTTCTAAATTTGACTGACTTACTGATTATGTTTTCTTTTTGAACATTTATAACACATTTTATTGCTCGATGATCAGACACATAATCACCAGGTTCACATGCCACAATTTCAACCCCATTGACTGCTTCCGTAATAACAACGTCAAGAGTATTGCCAAAAACTTGTGTGCCAAAGTTAACATGCTGCACCAAACCCATAGCGAATAATGAGTCTTTAAATTCTGATATCACGCTATTTTCTTCATTCAGATGTAAGTTAAAGTCACCCAGTGTTAGAAGATTGGAATATTGAGGCATAATCCCTTCCATGAATTGGAAAAAGTCAGAAATAAATTGTGAATTTGTTGACATGGATGGTGGTCTATAAATGCCAATTACATGCATTGTAATGTTTTTGAATACCAGTTGCCAAATACCAAATTCGAAACAATTTGTCACTCCAGATTTCAATTTCCTCATATTCACAACGGTGCGACAGGTCAAAGCAATCCCACCGCCGATTCGGTTCTTTCGATTGGCTACACTAATTTTATAACCGTTTTGATTAAGGTCACTAGTTTCATATTCATGCTGATTTTCGTCCGAATACCAAGTTTCAGTGAGGAGGGCAAAATCAAGTTTCTGTTCTCGTAGTATCTGACCAACACGAACATCCTTGTTTCGAACTGAATGACAATTTACAGTTATGAAAGATACTTTTTCATTGAATCTGTTATTCAGTGTATTGCATTTCTTTGGATATATGAGATTATGAGAGTTAATCCCATTTTGCTTTGTTAGAGGTTTTGATTGTCCACCCCTCTTTCTTTTCCTTTTTTTCCAGCCGGGGGCTATGTCCAATTTATTTATTGTATAGAATACAGATTGATCAGGTTTATAATATCTCCAGTGCTTTGTGACATTTAATCCAATGTTCAATAATTGATCACGGCTGTAGGCAATTTTGTTTGTTGAAATATTTTTGGTTTGTAAAATGTCTACTCCATTATGATGTAAAATTGTCCAAAATATTCAGTTGAAGTATGAGTAGCCCATTCAATCAATGACACAGCCAATAAATAAACACAAACAAAGATGCACACCGCATTCATTATCACATATGCACACTTTCAGTCAAATCCAAATAGAAATAAACTAGCAATTAAATATAATTCAAGAGCACAAAATAACACGTCTGCTTCATACAGCGACATATGAAAGAAAAAAAAGTTTCAAGGTATGGAAAACATAGTCTGCCTGAAAATCAATGATCACTGGTTGCTATGGATGTAATGGTTGATATGGGAGTCACTGGTTGCTAAAGAAAGTTAATGGTTGCTACGGAAGCTATAGATTACTAATGACAATCAATGGATGCTATGGAAGTCCCTACTTAATGATAAGAAAATGATAACTGGGCTTAGTCACTTGTTATTATGGAAAACCTAACAAAAAAATGAAAATTTAGAAAGTTAATGGTTGCTATTCAAAGTGAATGGTTCTTATAGAAGTTACTGTTGCTGATCAGTTCTCTTATTGCTAGGGAACTCAATGGTTGCTATGGTTGGATCAAAAGCCAAGGTTTTATGTCAAATAACAAAGCTCTAGCCCTTACTGGTTTTATATTGTCACTGTTTTTGCACTTTATACATATAGGATGAAAAACCTTCACCCACAGGCAACGAAAAGTCGAACAAACTTTGAAAAGAAACACTAGACAATGTTAAGTGCTTAATATCTAATAATTGTGCAGGCTAAGAAATTCTTTTCTTCAAATTTTACTAATTGTAACATATAAGGAATATCCATGGCCCCCAATCTCTGTAGGTTGGAGCCAATGTTCACCCAAGAGCTTTAATTTGAACAAACTTGGTATATGTCCACTAGACAATATTAAATGCCATATATCTAAGCTTGATATATCTAAGCATGAATTACCGTTGTGGCTCTGAAAAACTTTAATAACAAGATAACTAACTAACACCAAAGTGGCAACATATAAATAAAAAAAACACCCGAGGCGGCAACCAGATAACTATAAGAACACCTGAGCGTCAGCCAGATTTCTAAAATAACACCCTATGCGACAACAAGATAACTAATATAACACCCGAAGCAGCAACCAGTTAACTAAAATAGCACCGAGCGGCAACCAGATAACTTAAATAACAACCGAGGCGGAGTCGAGGATTCACGTGTTCGAAAACCTAGCTTAACGCCGTCTTCCGGTCCTTTGTGTATATAGCTGTGGAGAATTCGCGTAATGGAGTGCCATAACGAACTCGATGTTGTTTTTTTTAATTAAAGTGAAATAAAACAGTTATTACAATGAGAGAAAATGATTAAATACCATTGTATGACGAAATCCATACAAGAAATAAAGTAAATGCACAAGTTAACGCAGAAAAAATCTATGATTTATAAGTAAGATGCCACTATGACTGTTTTAATTTTAATGATTTACATTATAAACAATTATTTTTTTTTTGAAAATTTTGCAATAGATATTAATTAAAGGAACATTGTTAATTTTTAAACAAATCAACTTCTTTTTTACCTTAAACGGCAAAATAATGTTAGAAAAGTATCAATATAATGTAATAGTGTTATGTACTTCATCTGGTGTAATTCCCCGGAGCTAAATCCTTAACGTACTGGAAACGGTGTTTGGCTAGGTTTTTGAAAAGGTCAATTATATTTTAGTTCATGGGTTGCTAATATGCACATTTACCCTGAGATATGTGTTATCTTTTATAATCGCACACCAACATTTTAATATAGTAAACCATTTTAATAAGGTAGAATGTTTACACAGCAGCCAGGGGAGGGAACTAGAACTGGAACAAAAACATTACGATTTCTTAAGTCTATATAGATTACTCGCCCCTTGAAAATATTTCAAAAATTGACGCGTAATATTAATTACCAAGATGATAGACTGTAATATTACCCCCTCATTTTTTGTAACGTTAATTTCCCATTGGCCTCTGGGAATAATTCTTGCTATTAATAAAGTGTACCACGTGTCTTAGAATGTTGTACTGTTACAGGTAACAGTATTTTTAACAGTATACAACAGTAGACACGTGGTATATTTTCTAAAGAAAATTAAATAAAATGGCCGCCTTTTTTTCTTTCGATTCATTTTTATTCATCAACATCTTCTCAGGAGTAGCCTATGACACCCATAAAATTTAGTAAAAAAGTAAACATCAGTTTTCAACGGAAGTAATTGTAATATAAATAGTTTTGTGTCAAACTGGAACATGCAGACGATTTAAGCGTGCAACAAAGGATTTTTTAGCAATCTTAATCACTGAAACGATACAGATATGCTGAACAGACATAGGATATCATGGTTATTTTGACAAAAACCATGCAAAGAATATTCTGGAAACAGAAGCATCAGATTTCACAGATCATAACCGTGTATATGGGTTCGTGTTTTGTTCTCTAAATAAAACCTAGCTTATTGTATGTTTATGACGAGTGGATATCATCCCTTGCTGAAATAATAAAAGAAAAAGAAAACTTCTAAAGTAGTCCTCAAATACACTTAAAACTGAAAAGGTAAGTTGTTACTCTTGGTTTATTTTTGATACAGCTAGATATATTATAGTTGACAATTTCAGATCATCACATTATTTTTGTTCAGGGAGATAAAATACCCCTTGTGACGTCAAGGTTAACAGTAACAAATTTACGACAGCATAATCAAATGAATGAACCGACACCTGGTGTGACATTGAAAATGTTTAGTTCAAACATTCATATATTTTACTTTTGTTGATGTGTGTATTATTTCAGCAACTGTATTTCGACTTATTTCATTTGTTGAATTACCGTAAAACAGGATTGGTGTTCAAACTGATTTTTTGTTTGTATATCAATTATTGTTAGAAACAGTAGATAAATGAATCTGAAAACGCATTAGTAACAAATAATATTATTGCTTACTCAAAGCTTCAGATGTGTAAGTCGAAGCGAGTATTTTTTTTCTTATGATGCATACATACATCGGTAAAATGTTAAATTTTTTTTTTCGAACCATTTTTTATCAATTTATATATACTAGATGAATTTACTTTTTAGATGACAAACTTGGATTGCCAAGAACTGTTGGTATCAACAAAAAGCCTCTGCCGAATGCAAGACTTATCAGTAATAAAATACACAATGCAGTTGGACTTAACGTAGATCGTAGCCAAAATTTAACTCTGCACGCGATGGGATTTGGACAATTTCTGGACCATGACTTAACGCTCACTCCACTTATTTCAGGTAAATGTTCTTCAATTGTTTGGTGCGTACTTAATAATAATAAGAAAAATGCTGACATTTTTTGGAGAATATTCAACTTTGAGCTCAGCGGTCTAGACCTTTGTATGAGTGCTTGAGTGTCTTTAGGGATAAGTTCCAGTCCTTAAATGTGTGACATTCCCTGATATATATTGCATTGCATTGTTAAAAGCTGATTTATATGAAAATTGTCAGACAGTGTAACCTTTGATAAATAAAAAGAAATCGATAACGTAGAACTCTTTACTGTTTCAAGGTTTTCACCAAACAAATGTGTGCGTCTTGGAAATTGCAAAAATAGAGAGACATAATGCGTCCAAACCGACAAGATTTGAAATTGTTGCAGGCTTAGTTCTATTGTGCTTGTTCATGACGTCAAAGACTGTATGCTACAACTGCACACGCAAATGGAAAATATTTATTAAGTAATTTGCTTGCAATTTGAGAAATAAACCTTATCCAAACAAGTGTTACTTTTCATTATTGATCATTGCTGTGAGCGAAATAATTGAGATGTTTACAACATTTAAACGGAAAAGTTAATTTAAATAACAAACATTTTTCCCTTCGTGTTTCTTTAAGAGCATCAGGGCTTAATCATGGAGACAAGCATATTACTACTTGCAGGATCAACAAGATAGCTTGGCTAGCTACTTTCGTGATTGACGGCGGACTGCCCATTTTCGCGTTAGGATTGCAAATGCAAGTTGCGCAAAGTCAAATCCTAGAAATTGCACATAACGTCTACGTTCAGCTATAAACGTTATTTAATTGTGACGTTTGACCTTAATCACTGTTTCAAATTAAATATGTGGGAAATAGGCGTTGGCAAAAGACAAACCTGAATAGAAATTGTATAGAACCCGGTCACACGTGTAAAGGCATTGCGCGTTGGTTAGTCTATCACCAAGACTCCCTAAAAAACAAACAAACAAAAAACAATAGAACAAAACTGGTTTCTAGTGAAGTTTGTGAGATTGTTATATAAGAATTATTGAAGAAAATACACAAACGACACGAAACTAACAAATATTTGTCTATACTATTAATAAGCTTCTTTCTTTTTTAATTGCAGCGGTAGAACAATGTTGCGACAAGACCGCAAAAGACGAGTAAGTTCTTAAACATTTCTTATATTATACTTTTCTTAAGTAACTTCGTTACTTTATAATCATATATTTAACAAATTTGACAAACAAAATAATAAACAAAAGTAATAAATTTATGTTAGGAAATAAAAATTAAGATAACAAAAGAAAACAACAAAAATTAACAACAAAAACAACAAAAAAACCCCCAAAAAAATCTAAAAACAATGTACCTGATTCTGCCAATTTATTTAACAATAGAAACAATACCATCTCGGGTCTAATTGTATGAAATTGTCTTTATATGACATATTTTCCAATTATCAAATATGTTGCCTTTCCAGCATTGACAATTGTTTTAACATCATTAGTCAGGAGGATGACGAATTTCAGCCAATATTCAGTAAAGATCATTGTATAGAATTCAAAAGATCAGCCCCTGTGCTGTGTCCAGACTGTGAGTTTTTTTTTTATTAAGTATCATTAAATTAAAACAAGGGTGCCATAGTCACAAAATACGCCCGTTTACGAAAGCTTTAGATGGAGATGGGGGCATTATGGATAAGTGTTATCCTGCAAGCAAGTTTTTATCCTTGGCACTGTGTTGTTAAATGAACCTTAAAACAAATCAGTAGGGAAGATAAAAAGTACATGTAATTGTAATTTAATAACTAATTAAAATATAATTAAATTTCTATGGGAAAGTATTTACATTTGATAAGGTAATTACTGTATGATCTTTATGAACAAATACCAAGTCTACAGAACACCATAGTTATCACAGTTAAGAATCTTGACCAATGAATGAAACATGTGTAAATAAATGTTACATTCTTTAGAACATACTCAAGTCCAAGAAAGAGGATTATTTTATGCCCTTTGATTAAATTCTATTTTTAGAATTGAAAGTGAAAGTAGATCAAGGGGAGTAATTGTGTAAGTCATTTATGAACAAAGTAATAACTTTGTTGTCGCCCTTTGATTAAATTCTATTTACAAAATCTGGATATTTCATCATTTTTAGTGACCTTGACCTTGTATATATTGACCTAAATTATATGTATCACAGCCATAGTCTTGATAATGACCATTTGTGTTACAATCCCTCAATAAATGATGACTAAATGGTACATATACACATCTTCATATTTTTATCTGAACTTTGACCTCTATGTGTGACATTGACCTTGGCCGCAAGGACCTGAATCTTGCACGCGACACTCCGCCTCACAATGCTGAACATTTGTGCCAAGTAATATTGAAATCCCTCTATACATGTGGAAGTTTTGCTCCGGACAAGCATTTTTCAATGACCTCTAAGTGTGACCTTGACCTTTGACCTAGAGACCTGGTTCATGTGCGCGACACTGCTCCTCATAGTGGTGAACATTTCTATGAAGTTTCATTAAAATCCCTCCATACATGTAGGAGATATGCTCCGGACAAAATTGGACGCCGAAAGCCCGCCCGCCCGCCATTGGCGTTCCCATAATACGTCCCGTTTTTCAAACGGGCGTATAAAAATTGATATAATCAAATTTATATAATTTAATAAAATAACATTTATATTGAAAAACAGAAAGTAACAATGGAGTCAACACATCTACCGACTCGTGTACAAGGTGTAGTGAAATGTAAATAAAAACTTCATCGGTTATAACTTGAATTTAAATTGACAGACACTTACTGGCATTCGTTATTTATTTCTTTGAATTCATGACATACACAAGAACATTTGAACATACGTTCACTTTGCTGTCGTTCAAAATGCATTATGTCACAATTATTCTGTTAACATTTTTGTTCTGCTTCAGCACAATCTAATGGCAAACCAGTTAGACAACAGATCAACGCAATCACGGCATTCATTGATGGCTCTAATGTGTACGGCTCTTCTCTTGAACGTCAAAAAAGTCTGAGAGACGGAGGTAAACTTTTCAGTCAAGTTCTAACTAGTTCTAACTAGTTCTAAGTAGTTCTTCATCTGTACATTAATGCAACTAGATTAGTACCAGTAAGTAAAACTTGAAAAAGTAGTTTGAGCAATGAATCGACACTTTAGTTTAAACTTGTCTAGCCCATATGGCAATTAAGAACGAGTCGCAACCAATTTTCAGCAATAGTTCGATATACATATTCACAGCTCCAGAGAGAAAATACATGTTTTTTTTACAATTTTTACTACGTTTATTATCCTATTTATTCAATGGTTCATACAGAGTAAGGGATTTTCCTTTTTAATTGTAAAATAATAAATATTTTTGTGTGGATATGTACTGAGTACATGGATGCTGTGTTGGTCCCGGGTATATTTTGCACTGTCAACTAGGCCGATGAAGGTAAATATTTTTGAAATGTGTTATTCTCAAACATATGTGAGCAAATGTAAAATTTAAAGTAGATTATAGCCTATACTCCAATGTTATTTCACTAATATTGTACGACATCGAAAGAAAATAAATGGAAGTTTTGATATCTTATACCTTAAGGAAAACTGTAAAAATAGATTTTGAGTGTGCGCTATGTAGTACAACTTAATTATAGCTTATTACATTGTATGCTAATGAACAGTCACGAATATCTGATAGAAATATTGCGCAAAGTATAACGCTAAGCACCATCGTCTAGTGATTGTAACTTGTGATTGTATGTAAGGCCAACTGTGTTTGGTCATATTCTAATCTGCTGTAAAAAATGTCTATAAATGCAAATATTTTGAGAAATTACATATTTTTGAACATTGATTTATATAACGTAACCTAGTCGTTGATTGTGTATATCGACTAGTTCATATTTTGTGTTAATTGCATAGTCGTTTACTGTGTAAAGTGCATTGTCATTTATTGTATAATTTGAAAAAAAATCTTTTTTTTTGTAAATTGCATGGTCGTTTATTTTGTAAATTACCCGGTCGTTGATTGTGTAGATTTCCTAGTCTTTCATTGTGTAAATTGCCAAATCGTTTGTTATTTTTAAATTTACATTGTCTTTGATTAATTTTGTTTTAAATGGCCTAGTGATTGATTGTGTAAAATACATTGGAGAAGCATACACCAAGCTCAATTCACTAGGATAGAATAAGAACGACCTTTGCTTTGTAGTTATATAACTGTTTATAGGGGGACATCTACTGTGACATAAAAGTGTACTACAAAATACTTTTCTCTGCTCAGATGTCCGTTTGTGCCTGGAATAGTGCATTGGAGTGCATTTGAGGTTTTCGTCCACCAATGTAGCTGCAACATCGCCATATTACCTACACTCTGTCGATGTGACAGCTAACCAACAAAAAACACACACAATTATTCCTGTTAAACGTATCCAACTATTGCTTCTACGAGGGTTGTCCAAAAAATTCGTGCACTGCAGTTATTGTCGTGAGAGTTATTGATAGATAAATTTTCTTGTGTTTTCTTATTTTGGACAAATTTCCCCTTCAAGTGATATATAACTCATGTTTTTCTATCAAAAACTCTCACGACAATAACTGCAGTGCACGAATTTTTTGGACATCCCTCGTAAAATACCATATTAAATAAGTTTCTATTCATCATTTAGAATAATCTTGTTTTCTTTTGGAAAAATATTTTCAGAGAGTGGCATAGGCTTTCTCCTAAAGACAAGTACTCTACGAAATGCAGAGCGAATCCTGAATGGCGATTCTGCTGATTGTGTTCTTACTGAGTCTGGGCAGCACTGCTCAAAAGCAGGTACGTTAACTATTCGTTGATGTTAAAGCGGCCTCCAGCTTTTCTAAAGGTTAAATTTGTTATTTTTAAAAAGCATTTCATATTATTGTTACATCAAAAGGATTCAGGTGGAAAATGACATTTGCCGTCGATAACATACATTAACAAGAAGGAAACCTTCCGATGCCTCTTATCTACAGTTCCGTTCTCTGCATGTAAATTACTACTAATTTTAAATAAATAATAAATGTTTACTGATTTTCTGTTACTAACAATTTATATACATATTGTTATGTTGGTATTTTATTTAAAGGGGATGTTCGGGTTAACGAAGTTCCAAGTTTGACAGCGTACCACTATCTGTTTGTGAAAGAACATAACAGAATTGCCAACATATTGAAAGGTAAATACATAGTATTATATAATGATATTATATGAAAGTTCAAAAGGTTTGTATTAAACCAGTTCGGGATTACAACTATGAAAATATTTTTGTGTTGTGCTATCCAGCCAACCTTCAGAGCGTTGGTTGGTGCAGATAGGTTCTACTAAGGTGTCCGTTCGTGCCTGAAATAATTCACTGAAGGGCACCTAAGGTCTTCCTCCACAAGTAAAGCTTGATCGTCGCCATACCTCATTCATCTACAAGGACTAATTAAATGACTTCTCATCTTTTAGATTTCTACCCGAAAACCGGCAGTGATGAAATAATATTCCAGGAGACAAGAAAGCTGGTCATAGCCATTATGCAAACAATTGTCTACGACCAGTTTCTTCCTTCTTTCCTAACTGATGATACTATGAAAAGATATAGGCTGAAAACATCCGAAGACTATACGTATGAGGCCGGAATAAATCCAACAATTCTTAACGAATTTGCGGTGGCAGCTTATAGGTTTGTTATGTATACGACAGTTTCATTCAGGCAGTTACTATGAATTTGCCGCAAGCGGTATATATTGTTAAGAGTAATAAAATGATATATAACTGGCAAAATATTTTGTGATTCGAAAATGAATGAACTAAGATTGAACACACATCGCGTGTTCTCCTAATTATGCATTGTATTTATAACAATTATCATTTATTTTAAACGTGGTGCTTTAGGAAATGACTACAAGCTTGTCTTTTGGTTGTATATCATTTTTGTCCTGCACAAAGACTGCAGTTACGATAGCATAGCTTTTTTAAGAAACAAATGTGTTTTGTTTCTGTCAAATGATTTAGATATCAGTTTGAGCCAGTGGAGAATACATAAAAGAGCATACGTAATCTTCTTAATTAGTTATCTTGTTGTTGTTGTAAGTATTGTGTATAAAACAATTTCTTGTTCTTGCAGACTGTATTACTTTATTTCCTTGTCGGTTACTATTATTTCTTTTTATGTATTATTAAGTGATTAATTATTCCGTGCTCTGCCTTGTGCCGTGTCCGCTGGTCCTTGTTGCTGGGTCGTGCAGGGGTTGCGTTCATTGAACGCCACTTTTCCTTGTTAATCTCGTTTACTAAATTTCATTAATAAAGATCTATATGGATATCATAAATATCGTTTATATCATAACATTTTAACATTTTGTAGAATGGGACATTCATGGATATCTCCTGAAATGATTTTGTTTAATAAAGCTTTTAAACCGCTTGGCAACGGGGAAGTGAAAACAGAAGATACATTTCACAATCCAAGTTTGACATATAGACCAAAAGCGTTTAATAAGCTGATGTATGGGCTCTCTGGAGTGGCATCACCTGGAACAGACAGGTAAGGAACAAGATCGATCTACCACACATCACTGCGAGTTTGAATCTAAATCTAAAAAAGTCATCAATGGGTTAGACCCTAACCTTTATGATAATGCAAATAATAGCTAAAATGCTCTTAACGGATTGCATTTATAGTGTTTTATCAAAGGTGTAGTGTTTGCAGAAAAGAAGGATGTCTTTTTTTATTTTCTATTTAAATAAGGAGTACAAACGATTAATTTCACATACTTGTTTAGACAAACGTTTATACAATTGATGATTTGTATAATGAACTCAAGGAATACATTCCCACCATTATTTTGATTGCTCCCAGTAGGGATAACCATGCTGCCAAGGAAACTTGCATTAAATGCATATAATGTACAATAAAGGTGTCATTCTCTGATTGAAGTATATGATTGAGATAAGTGAAGGTTCTCAAAGCGACACGTTAACAAGTTTCAGCAATTATAAAAACTGGCTATAATTAGAGATATCTTAAAATTGTACAACCTTTCCAAACAACACTAGCTTAATTCAATTTTTTAAAAGCAAATAGAAATGAAAGGCATTGTGATTAAATAGCAGCACTATTCATCTCTAGGTTCTTAGTAGAAGCAGTTCGAAGTAACCTGTTTTTGGACAAAGCTGAAGGTTTTGCCTTGGATTTGGCTGCACTTAACATACAAAGAGGTAGGGATCATGGCATAGGGACGTTTTACGACTACATGGAGTACTGTAGATTGGACAGAGTTCAGGAAAACTGGAATGAGGACATTTCAGAAAAGTTTGTCGATGGAGTCAAAGACAAAGTGGTTGAAACAGGATACGAGTATGATTTGATTTTTTTTACCTTTTATGCTTCTGAACGCTTCTACGGCCATTTATAAATTTCCCAGCAGGTTTCATAGAAAGAAAATTCAGTAAGAACATTGTCATATATAGGAAAATTGCTCAATGTACTTAAAAACATACTGTACCAATATATATTCTTCTTTTTTAGTCTTAACCATTATCCTGTGTCAGTTTATTTTTTTTATAGTAGCATTCTAAAGTCAATAGTCAAGCATGTACACAAGCTTCATGTATTAACTTGTAACTAAATACCTTTAATTTTCATTGTCAATATGCAATATTCGATAAATTTGCCAATAAATTATAAAAATGTTTGCCACAGCTTACCAGGAGATATTGATCTCTTTACTGGAGGTCTCATAGAAAAAACAGTGAATGGGGCTTTGCTTGGAGCTACATTGGAATGTCTAATTGGAGAACAGTTCAAGAGACTGAAATTTGGAGACCGTTTCTGGTTTCAGAGTGAAACAGCCAATTACAATAAAAGTACGTTTCCGTTAATATCCTATTCCCCCTCTTATTCCATTTACAACTGATGGCAAATCAATACCATAGTCTGTAAAATTATTTTATTAATAACAAGCATACTATTCTGGTGGAACAAAGGTTTTTTGGTAAGACTTTAAGTCACATCAGCACAATATAGGTCATATGGTGACTTTCCAGCGTAACTGATTTTTAAATATCTCAACTTTCCTTCCGTTCATTATTTAAGGCAAGAACGGGCACCTGAGCAAGACAATAATTATTTTAATTAATGCCATTTTTGCATATTGTCTCTATTTAATATTTCCAGGTTTAAAGAAGGGTCCATTACCCAATCTTCCTGTGAAGACTGTCCCGAAATATAAACGACTGAATCGTTTGGGTCAACATATTTTAATGAACTGATTCATTTCTTTAATGCCTCCTGAAAAAAATGTATCACTATTTCAAAGCGGAAGCTTCGTATGAAAATTATAATAAACGAATTGATAAATCTTGCATAACAGGTGTAACTCTTTCTGCTCAAATCGCAAATGGCCATTCATGTGATCAATTTTTTTTAAATGTCATGACAACTTAACAACTTTAATCACAACAAAGGAGTTGTAGTAAAATCAGGTTCTCATCCTTATAGTTACTGAATAATCAATTGTGTCCTATCTTCTACAAATGCTCTCAACGAAATCGGTTATAAAGCATTATAAAGATACAGTTAGATTTTAGAAATATATTATTAATTGTATAATTTCAGAGCAAATTGATGAAATACGGAAGTACACATTCTCCAAGATACTCTGCAAGAATTTTGGCTACAATACTGTACAGTTTCCTAATGCATTTAAGCTCACGTAAGTCATCATTGCCAATAGTTTATGAATAATTGTTATCGTTACAATAGGCGCGTCAATGAAATTGACTCTTTTTAAACTGTTAACCGTTCTTATTTTTGTTGATATGTAATAAAAAGAACATTGTATTCATAGATTTATCGAACTCGATCAATAAAACAATATCATGCTCGCCAGGGGCTCGCGTTTGATTTTATTCAACTTGTTCAATAAATAAAATTTTAAATCTACACTCATTCAATCTCCTCTATGTTTTGTTTTATAAAGCACGTTTGTAAGGTAACTTTTAATTGGATAATCTTGACGTTTATATAGTTTTATATACACTGATGCTGTCAATATATAAAATACTCACGTTTTTCTCTAAAATATAGGACGTTTGCAGTATTATAAATTCATTATAAATGTTCCATGTTCCTTACAGGCTGAATATAAACGGTTGTTTGTTATATAAACCTCGCCTGGCGCCTCGGATTATATGTACAAACAACCGTTGATATAGGGCCATATAACCTGTCAACAATCTTTATGACTATTATTGTAATATGGGGCGGAAAAATAATATGTAAATGTGACAAATGTTACACAATTATGCTTATCCAAATTATTTCATTCGTAAAAAGCCAAATAATTGTAGATTTTATTCTAACAATTTTTTTTCTTGTTTTTGTTTGGCAGTATTTATGGTAAACATTTTAGAACATGCCTTTTTGTTTAGCTCTTTTATGCCCCCCTGACGGTGGCATATTGAAATCGCACTGTCCGTCCGTTCAGTAATCTTGTTCGTGTAAAATATGCTTGTCTACGCTTCATCCCAGAACCAATGAGGGAGGATTTTAGTTAAACTTCAAAGGATTGTTTGTCACCATAGTTTCTTGATTTTCCCTTGAATTCTTTGACATATTGGTCAATTTTCGACTACAATACGCTTGTCTGTGCCTCATTACCAAAACCGCTGGGTGTTTTTCAGTGAAACATCAAGCATTGGTTGTAACCATGTCTATTTGTTCATAGTATCTTGATTATCCGCTTGCTTTCTTGACAGAGCTATAGCCCATAATTGGTAAATGTTCGCATAAAACAAGTTTCTCCGTGCTTTAGTCGCCAAAACCATTTGGGGAGGGGGATTTCACTCAAATTTCACAGGATTCTTTGCAACCAAGCCTGGTTGTGCATACTTTCATGATATTTTGCTTGATTTTTTCTTAGTCCCCCCTTCATATGGTCTATTTTTTATTCCAATTAGCTTGTCAACGCTTCATCTCCAAAACTTGTGGGGGGATTTCAGTGAACTAAACAGGATGGTTTGTTACCATGCTAAGTTGTTCCGAATATCTTGATTTCGAGGATTTCAGTAAAACTTTACAGGAATGTTTGTCATCACGTTAACTTGTGCATAGTTAATTGATTTTCTGATTGAATTTTTATACACATTTATGGCCTCTTCATGGTCTATTTTCATATAAAATAACCTTATCCACGCTACATCTCCAAAACCACTAGCGGATTTCACAGGAATGTTTGTTACCATGCCTAGTTGTGCATAGAGTCCTGACTTTGCCTTTCATTTTGTTTGGCACAGTAACGGTTTCTGTATGGTCTTCTTCGAGTAATAACTTGTCTGCCGTAATAGTCAGTTTACAAGTAAAATAAGCTTCATCTCCAAAGCAGCTTGATATTTCAGTGAAGAAACGTTACAGGTTTGTTTGTCACCAAGCTTAGTTGCGCATAGTATCTTGATTTTTCAGCAATTAATATTGTCCATCCTTCATCTCAGAAACCACATGGGAGATTTCTGTAAACAATCATTAAATTGTTTGTATGCTGTCATGATTTTCCAAGTCAAGCTGTCGATGTGCATTTTTTTTTTCACACACTTTTGGGCCCTTGATGATGTTTTGTTAGTATAATTTGTTTACACTATTTCTTCTACACTTCTAATGGAATTTCAATGAAGTTTTAGGTTGGCTGTATATTACCGCTATTTTGGCATATATTTCAGATTTTATTTAAGAACTTTCTTTCAGGGGCATAGGTCACATTTAAGTGACAATAAACGATAAACAGTAAAACAACAATATTGATCTTTAACACTTTGATTTATCTAAACAGTGACAAAATGAAGAAGTGCAGCGAAATTGATGACATAAATTTCAGCGTTTTTGACCCACGGTAAACTCAAACTTCACGACCCCCTCTTTTCCATGAACACCGCCCGATAAGACGAATGAAAATCATATTGGAAAAGAACTCCTGCACCACATTGAACAGCGTGAAGAAGAAAAAAGGAACTGAAATATAAAACTTTATCCATGAAAACTGGGCTTCATTGAATTGAATTAACATGTTTTGATTGCTACACATCAATCTAAATTCAAAATGCTGAGAATTCACTTTTATTGATGCATTGTTTTCAAATCAAGAATATTTGTCATTTAATAAGACACTTCACATTCAAGAATTCAATATGTACATTTTTTCTAAAAATGTTTTTCAGTAACTATAAGGTCTATACTTTAAAATCTTGTAGAATACCAAAGGATCATAGGTTTTGTTGCCTCTTTTGGCCAAATTTCTCTCCAAAAACATAGCAAATATAAATGTTTACACTCAATATGCTTCATGTCACTTTAAAATTTACACTGAATATGCTTTATATCACTTCAATGCACGTATTGCTATATATTAATTGTCATGATAAACGTCCATTCACCATAATTAGCAATTTTTGCGATTGGGTGAAAAAAGTAGACACACCTTTATTAAAAAAAGAAAAAAATGAATTAGCTTTTGGTTTAAATAAATTAATTCTTTTTTATCCTTTTTTTTAAAAATTGATTAGCAAACTTCTTTCTTTTAAAACATAATTTTTTTAAAATACGTTTTTTTTTTGTTTAAAAAAAAAGCCGGGTCGAAAAGGAAAACTTGATTTTTTTAAAAATTTTCAAAAACAAATTTTTTTGTCTTACATTTCGTTTTTTTTATTAATTGTGCCCTCTTTGGAATAAACAAAAGGGAAATAAAAATTCCCCTTATTTTTTTTTTCCTATTGGGTTAAATTTTAAAAAAGTTTTAAAAATTTTGTTCTACTATTGCTTTTAAAAAATTTTAAAACAACCCCCTTTATAAAGAAATTTAAACAGTTTGCATTTTAATTTCTGTTCATTAGGAGTATTTTGGTTGATTAACCTTTGATTTGTAAATATAGTTACCTCATCACACTAGAAACTCTCTTGCACTACGGTCTCCACGACCTAGGAGTTTAATATAAAACAAGTGGTCGAAGTGAGAACGCAATGTGCGTGTGGCATGACGGCGCAAGCATTGTGAGGACCAGACCGACGCAGTGAGGACACAGACTGACGCAGTGAGGACACAGACCGACGCAGTGAGGACACAGACCGACGCAGTGAGGACACAGACCGACGCAGTGAGGACACAGACCGCCGCAGTGAGGACAATGAAGTTAGAAATCATGTCCTCACTACTTTATAACGAAGTTTCGAGAACGAAGGTTTGGCATTGCTGGTTAACATCCTAGTTTGATTGGGTATTAAAAAGGATTTGAATTTTTTGTTATTCAAAAATATTAAACTTAAATTTGTTTTTCTTTTTAGAATAGTTTGCGAAAGGACACGGTCATGTTTATTTTATTCTTTTATCATTCTAAAATATTTAAGTACTTTTGTCTCTTTATATAAATAGTTTGCACCTATGTTGCTTACACACAAACGTAATCAAGATAATTTTGTATTAAGATGAAATAAAGATTTATTTTTTTAAAAATGTGGGGAAATTTAAAAATTTGGGGGAAGGGTTTTGGAAAAAAAATACCAAACGGTACCCTTGATTCCCAAAACGGGGTTTGAATAAAAAAGAAAAAAAACTTTTTTGGCAAAGGGGAAAAGTAAATTTTAATTTTAATTTTAACCCATTTTTTAGGGGGGGTTCATATTTCCCCAAATTTAAATTTTTGACAAATTGGGCCCCCTTTTAATTTTTTTTCAGACTATTAAAACCCTATTAAATTTTGAAACAAATTTCCCAGTTGAATGATAATAATATGATTTCCCAGAATTTTTAAAAAAATTTAGCAAAGATTAAAAAACCCATAAATATTGGGACTTGCGAAAAAAAATTTGGGAAATAAATTTTAAATTTAAAACGATTTTTGGGACCCCCGCGTCATGACAAAAATAAAACCGAAAATACGTTTACTTTCCCAGCAGGGACCCCAGCCCCACCCCTGCGCACCCTGTGCAGTCTAAATCAGGATCCATGCTTTTCGTTTCCCCAACTTCTTTTTACAAGAAAGAAAAGATAGCAAACCCACCCAAGGGATCCTGATAAAGAACTGGGCGATACGCAGGCGGGTTTCTGGTCCATGGGGGGTCGCAAACCCATTGTTGGTTTTGTTATGGGGCGGCTCATTTTTTTGGTTTAATGGAAATAAATATTTCAAGGGGGAACTTCCCCTAACTTTTGGGGGAAGATAATTTTAAACATAAAAATTTTTTTTTCCAACTTTAAATGTTCTATTTAAAAAAAGGTGTGTACAAAAAGGGATAACTTGAAATGGAAATGTCAGTTTCTTTTGGGCTAAACTTCTTTTTTTTCCTAAATACGAATTCTTTTTTGGTGAAAAATAAACCTTTAATTTTTGAAAACCCGTTGCAAGCTATTAACATTTTTTTGGGGTTAAAGAAAAAGGAACAAAAACGAACTAAAATTTATTTCTCATTATTTTTCGGGATTTATTCATTTGCAAAATCTATATTTTTTAAAAGGCCCCCCAAAATGTTTTAAGAAAAAAAAATTTAAAATTGTATAAATATTTTTTGTTTTTTGGGAAACCTTTGTGAATTTCCCTTAATGTTATTTTTTGTTTTTAATTTTAAAAAATTTGTTATTGTATGTAAAATTTAATCAAATATGTTTGTTTGTTCCCTTAGAAATCTATATATTTTTAATAAAAAAAAATAAAAAAATTGGATTTTTATTTTTTAAATAAAAACACTTTAAGAAACTGAATGAATTTTTTATAAAAAATGGGGATATATACAAGTTTTCATCGTTTGCGACACATGAAACGGGGGTAATTTTTTTTAATATGTTTCCTTTTTTAAAACGAGCAGTCCCGATATCAAAAATCTGAAAACCTGCCCAAAGCTTTTTTGGTTTTTTTAAAAACTGTTTTATTTGGTTTAAATAATTTTTGGGGAAAAAGGAAAAAATTTAAAAAATAACCCCCAAAAAGATTTTTTCCCGTACGGGCTGTCCTGCAAAAATTTAAAATTCTTTTTGAAATAAAGGCCCCGGGATAAAACATATACTTTTTTTTGGGAAAAAAGGGAAATTTTTAAAAAAAAGGGTTTTTTGGGCGATAAAATGCACGGTTAAAACATTGAAAAATTTTTTTTAAAATGAAAATGTAAAACAAGTAAAAAAATGCTTTCCCGAAAAAACGAGACTATCTAAATTTTTGAAAACGGAAAAAAGCGCCCCGGGTATCTTTTTCAGAATTAATCAGGGGATTTGATTTTCCCTTTCCCTTTCTGTATATTAAAAGGCAAAAAAAAAAAAAAAATTTTTCCTTTTTTGCCCAAAAAGATAAAACCCCCCGGGTTTTTTCCAATTGAACGAGCATTGAATATGATATTTTTATCGATATCTCTTTCTCTTTTAAAAATCAAAATTATGTAACTCCAAAAAAATGTTAAAAAAACGGGCCACCCCCAAATTTAAAATTACTTTTCCAGGGTACAGGGTATAGATTAAACCCTAAAAAAAAGGTCCTCAAACTATGAAAAAAAATTTTGGGATAAACCAGTCCGGGGTAATTTCAATGTCAATGTCGGTAAAACTCAAAAAAAGGGAATGTTTTAAGTTTTTTACTTTAAAAAGGTTTTTAAAATTTAAATTATGACATTATGCTTCAGAAAAGCCCATTTTATAAATTTTTTTCTTAATAATTTTTTTTGTTTTTTTTTTTTTTTTAGTTTCCCCCCAAATTCTTTAAAAATTTAGTAAAATTTCCTTTGGGTCTTTTTTCCCGTTGGCCCAAATTTGGGAAAAAATTTATTTTGAATTTTTTAAAAGGAAAATTTAAAAACCATTTTTTTACAATTTTTTTACTTTTTTAAAAAAAAATAAATACATTGGGCCCGGGGTACTTTTTTCAAATAAAAATAACATCTAACAAAGCTTTAAAAGATTACTTAAGCTTATTAAAACCCAAAATTTTTACATTTTTTAAAAAAAAAAAAAATTTGTTAAAGGGATAATTTTGGGCCCTTTAAAATTCCTTTTTGACTTTCTTAAATTTGGGAACCCAATAAAAAAACTCAATTTTTTTTATTATTGTTTTATAGGCAATTTTTTTAAAAAACAAAATACAAAAGTATCAAATGTACTTTTCCCCCAAATTGTGGGTAATTTCAAAGGCCCCCTTTTTAAAAAAAAATGGAAAAACTGTATTTTAAATTTTATTTAAAAAAATTGTATGATCTTAGGATAAAAATTTTTAAATACATTTAAGCGAAAACGTTTAAAGGTTTTTTTAAAAAAATTTAAGATCAGAAAAATTAAAATTTAATTCTATAAAAACACGGTTTTTAAATTTTACTTCTATGTCTAAGCTTTTTAAAAAATTGAAAAAAAAGTTTTTTGGGATACAATGATTTTAAGAAAGAAATAGTTTTTTAAACAAAGGAAAAAGTTTTTTTCACATAAAAATGTTGATTTATTTAAAAAGAAAGGGTGTATTTTTTTTTGTAAATGGTGATAAAGTTATGTTTTGTAAATCATGAAAATTTTTAAAAAAAAAAACATGTTTGGAAAAGAATAAAATTTTTGGGCGATAAAAAACTTTTTGATTGTGAGCTATTTTGTTAAAATTTACCCTTTTAGGGAGTTAAAATTTTGTGAAAAAAAATTTAAAAAAAAAAATTTTAAATAAAATTTAAAAATAATTAAAAAAATTTTTTTTTGAAAATTTTTTTTGGGAAAATTTTTAAATTTGTCATCTTTGATGCTACAAGAAAAAATTTTAAAAAAAGACCCTTCGTTTATATACAGACAGAAAAGGACAGACCCGACAATTTAAAAATTTAAAATTAAAAAAAGGGGGTCATGATGCAAACAAAAAGCAACATGTTTTCAAAATAACGAAAAAATGCATATGTCAATGTAAAAAAACTATTTACCCAAAATAAATAAAGGGCAGGAGAAGGTCATAATAAACAACTTAAAAATAGAAATAGAAAAAATGAAAAAAAATTAATTTTTTTTTTTTTTGTAAAAAGTTTTTAATTTTTAAAATTTGGCCCCTTGGGGTTTTTTAAAAAAAAAGTTTAAAACCCCCTCTAAGAAATTTTTTTAAAATTTTTAAAAATTTCCCCTATTTTTTTCCAGTTACAAATTGGCCACGTGGGTTTTTTTTTTAAATTAAAAGGGGGGCCCCCCCCATTTTTTTGATTTTTTATTCCCTTTTTTTATGGTAGGGGTGACGAAAAGGTTTAATTATTCTTTGGATAAATTTTATTCTTTTGGCAAAACCCCTAAGGGGCCTTTTCGCCGTTTTTAATTAAATTTTTTGTTGAATTAGTCAAACAAGAAATTTTCCCCTTTTTTAAACGAAGGTTTTTAAAAATTGAATTGGGAAAAATTTAAATTTTTTGGGAAAAAGGAAATGGAAGGGGAAAATTGATGCCGGGAATGATTTTCCCCAAATTTTTTAAACCCTTTAAAATTACTGTTTAAGGGGTAAAGTTTTGGTGAACAGAATTGGGGGAACCGGGTTGTTTCAAAACTTTTGGGGTTTAAAAAAAGGGAACTGTTAAATTTTTTTAAATTCCTTTGCGAAGTTCTGGATAAAGTTTTTGTTCCAAAGGGGTTTATTATGGGTTTTTTTTATTTTTTCTTCCGGTTAATATTTTGGTGTAGAATCATTTTTTTTCCCTTAAATGAAAACGTTCGGGGAAAGGCTTTAAGTTCCCCTTAAAACTTTCGGTAAAGAACAGTTTTAATTATTGTTTCTTGGGCTTATTTTTGTTAAATCCTAAATTTGGTTTAAAATTAGTTTATCAAGGTTTTGTTTTTGGGGATAAAATTTTTTTCAATGTGTTTTGGTGGGGTAAGTTTTAAAATATAATTCCCGGTAAAAACTTTGGGGGAACAGTAAAATTTTTTCGGGGAAAGTATTTTTCTGTTAACCAAAAAACCTGTTTTTATTTATTAATTTTTTTGGGGATAATTTTTTTGGAGATTAAAAATTTTTAGTAATAACACCAAAGGGGGTTAACCCATTTATGAACAGTGTATTTTGTTCCTAGGTATTTAAATTAAATAGTTTAACAAAACCGTTTTGTGGGATTAAAAGGTTTTTTTAATTATTCCCCCTTCGGGGCGAATTTTTATTTTTTTGGGAGTTTAAACCCAAAATTTTAAAACCTCATTATTTTTTAAAATTTTTTGGGCAAAATTAAATTTTCTATGAAAAAAACTTTTATTTTTAAATTTTTCAATTAATTTTGTTCGGGCAAGTAAGCGTTAAATAAACAAAATTTTGTTTTAATAAAAAAGATTTCCCTCCGGGATTATTTTGGTAAAAACAATTTTAAAATTCCTGGGGCCCCCCCAAATTTTAAATTGGGGTTAGGTTTTTTTGGGAAAAAAAATTGGGGGGGAAAATTTTCCTTTAAAAGTTTAACGTTTAGAAATTTTAAAAATTAATTTTAAATTAAATTTTTTGGGCCCCCTTAAAAAGTTTTTAAAAATAAGTATAACCCCTTTTAGAAAAAACAGCCACGGGAATTTGGAACTTTAATTGTCATGGGGGTTAAAAAAGTTAAAAATTGGCCGTATAAAAAAAATTTTTTATTTAAAAGGAAAAACCAATTTAGGTTTAAATAAACCCAAAAATTTTTAAATTTTCAGGGTTGAACATGATGAGAAGAGCACCAAAACAGCATATTATTATAACCCGAACATAATAACTGTACACCCTACAACATATCTTTTTAACTCAACTATATTGGTGTGTTTGCCACATGCCTGTTTTGTTTTAAGATGAACCAAACGCACCTTATGCACCCGACAATACATTGACTTGACTGAATAAAATACAGTCAGCACACAACATAGCACTTCAATAACTGAGCACATTAGGATTTCCACCCAGCATTTTGTATCTCGGACTCAACAGAAAGACATTTAACTAGGTATATCATTCAATCTTAACATAAGACAGTCCAGGCGTTCCATATTTATCAATTATCAAAACATCATTATAATATTGACTAAAAATTATTGTCTACTCGACTGAAACTTTTTTTTTAATTTCTCAATAATTTATGTACTAACACAGTAACCGCGTAAGTAAGTTCATCTTTGTGCTATAAATAGATCAACATCCGGGATATTAGGTAAAAAAACAAATTGCATATCCATGCTCCATTATCTGTTAAGTTTTTGAAATAAAATATAAATTTATCTTAAACGTTTACAGTTTAGAATGTAAAAATGAAGTGTAATGTTTTTCTGTGCACTATTAACTGTTTTATATCGTTTTGCTATAAACAGTTGCATATCTCGTTGATTTGAACATAGCACACTGGTTAGATTGGCAAACTTGTATTTTAAAAAACTTATTGCTGTATGGAGTATTTCATTAAAAGAACTCAACTGAGGTTCAAAAACCTAAAAACTTAAATTCGGAAATTATTATATAGATCAGCTGTGGCATTTTAAACAGAAACATTTAGAAATAAACTAAACAAACTGTACAAATCGAAATCAGTGAAAAGCGTTGCTATGCATGTCAATTTTGGGTCTTTCGTCACAACTATAATTATAATTATTTTGGGAAAACAAAGTGTTGGAAAGATCTGAAAATGTTCACAGAAGTTATTGTTGTAATACTACATCAAATGAAACTTAAATCTCGGAAAAGAATCCAGTCCCGGCATGTTTGAATTTTTTTAAAAATGTCTTTCTTTCAATTGATAAAAACGAATAGGTATTTTTATTGTTTTTTCTGTTAAATGAAGCGTGCAAGTCGCGGAAAAAACACACAGTAGGGTAAGGTCAGGTCATCTAAAATGCCAGAGATGACTGGTTGACATGTCGCGACTTATTTTAGGAGAATGGCTTCAACAAGAGCCATTTATGTTTGGTTATGCCGTTTGAATCGTGATGCCTATGTAGTATTGTTGTCTCCTCTACTCACAAACTACAGGCGAAGAACGGATCAAGGAAGATTTTATGTCGCGGCTGATGTAGGCTCTACGTTGGACCACCAAGTGCGCAGATAATCTAGCCCATATGGTTCATTCCGGCGGCCAGTATACATAAACCTTTCTACACACATGTTACTTGAGATTAAAAAGCTCCTTATTTCAGCGTTCTTTATAGAGATTTACTTCATAACTTCTAATGTCCTTACATAGTACAATTTTTATAATGTCTAGGAGTTTGTAAAAAGACAAATTTCAATTTTCTTTGCGGTTTGATACTTTTTCACGTGGTACGCATCTAGCATTCTTCAAATCATTAACATAAAAACATTATAGCACGCAGGTCTGTCTGTTTTTCAGAGTAAAATACAGAAGATGTCAAAATCATAAAAACCATGAAATTTGAAATTGTTTCATAGATAATGTCTGGTACTTAAGACGGAGAAAAAAAATGTCAACAAGCAATTAAGATATAGATAGAATTAAATTGAAAAGCAATTGTATTACGAGTCTTTGCTCATTGTAAACACTTTTCTCTTTTAGGTCATTTGGTCAATAGAAATGATTATTTTGGGGAAAAGAGTGACTGAATGATCTAAAATTGTGCATTTATGTGTAAACTTATTGGTCCATACCTATATCAAACGATACAAAACTCTCGAACAGGATATTTTAGGAACCTTTATGTCATAAAACGTCAATGAAGTCCCTTTAAAGTGTTTTATTGCTTTAATATAAGAAATCTACATAAAACTTCCTAGGATGATGGGTTATCTTATATATATATATATTTGTTTTTATATTTTATACAATCAACTGGATAATGATATTAAAACCCGTTTTTACTAATTTTTTATTACCAAATGAATGATCATGTTTATTAGTCGATTTTTTCACTCCAAACACATTCGTGTTTTGTTTTGGCGAACGGTAGTGTATTCACAATGCTTATAATATATCACTGCAATAAGCTTTCATTTTAAGCTATTGCAAGGCAAGACTTGTATTTTACTTATATAAAGAAAATTATAAAAAAGTACAAGACATACCAAACACGCCAGTGATTGATAGTACTTTGTGGTTGATTAGGATTGCAATTGTTTAGAAAAACATGTATTTGCAAGTGCCGAGCCAGAATATTGCAGAACTTCAATGAAATCCATCATCAATTTTACAAATCCTTTTTGTCTATATAAATCAAACTTTTGTTCATTAAGCCCTTAAAACATTACTAATTAATCATTCTGACAACGGTGTCGTGTTATGGTCATTCCAGCTCTTTAAGTGTTGAAAATAAATTGAGAACGGCTGGGGCCGGTGCTAGGGGTTGTGACGGATGTTGCGATTTTTCATAATCCCTCATGTACAGACTCGATGAAACCGAATCTGCAATTTTTATGTTATTTTGTTGTGATTTATACTTCCGAAGGATCTCACTCTTTTCCAGATTTGTTTAACCTGAAGACAGTACAGAAAGAATTTTCTACCCGGAGCCAGTACAGAAACAATCATGAGTCAATCTCAGTACTTGCATAGGCACTTAAAACAAGCAAATACGTAGGCCTTACAAGTAATCGTCATCTTATGTCCAAAAGTAGTATTTGCCTTCAAGCCTTGTAGTTGGGTTGTAAATAAACACTTAAAAATTGATCATTATATATAATTCTGCCGTCATAATATTTTTTATCGTAGGTGGGCTGATGTGGAAAGTAAAATAGACAAGTATGAAAAACGTCTAAAATAATCATGCGCATCTACGTTGATAATGAAATTGCAGGTGTAATAAATACAGAAAGCCGTCGGTATCACTGAAATCTTGACTTAGAATACATTACTTTAGATTAACTTTCATCGCCTTTTAATACTATCAATAATATGTCATCAAAGTCATGCCAGGTCAAAACTATAAGAGTACCAATCTCCCATTTGATGATGATGTTTGATATGATAAAATGTTCGTGCTTGTCACAGAATTTATTTCACTTTGACAATAAGAACGTAATTATGTACGTAAATCCATTTTCTTATTACGGGTGCTGGTACAATGTGTGACATTTACGTATACTCGTAAAACTGATCAAACATTGTTTATATATAGAACATAAAACTATTCGCCCACTCTAATTAACTCTTCACGCGTGCAAGAAAATTAAAACATATATAAATCCTTAAATTAAACTGTACGTGGCTTTTATTTTTGGATAATATTTGGGCAGACTTGTTTCGTAACATGATGGTAAGTAAAATTAATTTGTTTCAAATCGTGTGTTCTCATTACTTATAAAAGCTTAAAATTGACTTATTCATACATTAAGTTGCAGTTGTTGTTTTGTTTAATTTTGTTGATGTTGTTTTTGTTGTTGTTCCTAGTCAAATAAAGATTTGGTGACCTTGATTACAGACATGGTTTTTAACGCAAAAAGTAAAACAAGATCTTACATTTTATAGGAATAAATTTAAGTCTTGCTTTAATTAATTAACCAATACAATTGTCATACAACAGATGCTCAGCAGTGTTGTTTCAAATTCAAATATTGCTTTAGTTAACAGATGAAGCAAATCTTCTTTTAATTTTCTAGTGTCATTGAAAAAAATATTTTTAATGTAACGATAATCAAATATTGTTTGCGTATTTCAAGTTATAATGGTTTCTGATTTCATGCCTTTTAGAACTATTAGATTGTCTAGATTTTCAAGTTTATAAAACATTTAACGTTAGTGCGGATACTTTTGTATTCACGTTTACGCAATCAGATGTCTGTTATAAAATTTGACGAATAAGTTTTGAGTGAGCCCCTAAAGCAGAATTCAACATTTAACATAAAATAGTAAAATTATGAATTGAGAATATCCACGTATTCATTCGGCACTTATAACGGAGCCTTCAATGTGACTTGTTAGTGTCAAACAGTGGCGTTATGTCCCCTATTAATCTATTAAAACACAACACATGCTCCATTAACGAGAAAACAGAATGGACGAGACTAAATAAAAGGGAATTTGGTATAGGGATCGGAAATTTTGAAGCCAGCATATCATTTACAAAACACTAATTTCAATGTAGGCAGCATCTCCTTTGAGTTCAAGAATGTTTACTTGTTCAACCCAAGTAGAAAATAAAAGACAACTAAAGAGAAATTAAAAGTATTTAAAAGTACGAAAACAACAATAATGTCATGCTTAATGAACAAAATGTATTAAAAATGCAAGCCAAAGATTAATGAAGAGAAATACTTACTCCATTATATTGCTGCTGAATAGCCAACATTCGGAAGCCACAATAAAAAATCAAATTTTAACACTGTCGTTCATTCTTCTTCATGGTTTTTTTTTCTCTCAATGTTTTCCTTTACTTTACTCTTAGTTTTGCAAAGAACCATGGCAGTTTTTGTGTGATATGTAGTTGTCATGGGATTAAGCATGTATTTCATATAAAGATTTGCCATTATAAATATCGAGTCTTATACTCTTATAGTTATATCATTTGACAAATAAACATCAGTTTAGATTTCTTTAACAAATTTTGTTACATTTCTTTTCTTCTATAGATAATTGTACAAGGCAGCATAGTCCTTCTTCTGATCGGGTGTTGTTATTCTGCTGTTCCTAGCGAAGATGAAGTTTTGGAAGCCCTTGATAAAGCAAGGACTATTAGTCTCCTTGAAAGAGGACTCGAACAAATGGAACGAAAACGTATGTTGTCTTTTTTCTGATATTCGTTTGTTTTTCTTTGGTTTTTTAACCGAGTTTTCACAGATATGTTTTGCTATCTCGTCAGGCTAACCGGTTTTCTTTGATAACTTACCAGTAATTACAAGTATCCAAACAAGTAAGCGACTGCTTATCCAATAAGATTTCTTAATTTTGTTATAACATATGCATGATTATTTATCTTCACGAGAAAAAGTATGGTTAAGTTTTCTAAATATTTTCCTTTGAGTTAGAGAAAATTTTGCAAAAAAAAAACAACAACAGTATGTTGAATAAAAACATGTTGCGGTTAAATCAAACGTCGTACGTAGGTGTACTTACACACTTGTTATAAAAGTTTAAATATTTAGGTCGAATTATACAATAACCTATATGTACCTACAATAATTGCACTGCATATATGGATCAATATATCAATAATCCAAACCATTACATTTCGTTTATAAACAAAATATTAGCTTTTTTTCACATGACTGGTCTGAAATATTTTATTTCTGAATCGAATTAATTTTGGGTTAAACAATAAATAAATGCATTTCCAAATTGTACAACTTAAAAATAGACACTTAGCATATTAATTAAACGCAGTGAAATATTAATCTTATTGAAAAACAAGTCAAGTTAGACTTGTAAATTTCTTTCGATATGTTAGGTACTTGCAGTAGAAAAACATATGCACATATTCTGGTTGAGTAAATAAACTTGATAAATAATCAAGACATATTAATCATTTTGAAGTATTGTTGCCTGGGAGAAACAGGGAACATTTCATTTCATAATGCTTTTATAGTAATGATAAATTATTCCAAACAGATTCCTGTACAATTTAAAAAATTGTTTGCAATATTTGTTATGATAAGTTAAATTTTTGCTTTACATGGTTTTTTTATATAGAATGCTTAATTTGAATTTAGAATCAGTATATTGCTCATTTGGACCGCAGTGTTAAGGCATAAAAGTTACTTCTCCATAGTTTTAGGCAAATGTTTATAAAATCTAAACTGATCGGATTTATGATTAAATAGTGCACACATATATTTTTTCCTGTAACTACTGTAGCAGAAAGCGATAAGTTTTTACCACAATCATGTATTCAACCAGGCCATCTTGCACAGACGTGTGATCTGAATAAATTCTATACTCTTTGTACTAGTACAATATGTTTATTTTGATATAAAAAATCTCATTATCATCACTAAAATTGATGCACCATTTTATTAGATTTAACATATATTTTAGCTTGGCTATGAAATGCAAATTTTTGTCTCTAAAAAAGAAACAAACATTATATTGAATATCAAAAATATGTGGTTTGCAAATTTATGTAAAATTATATATAATTCTATACTTAAAAAGCATATATGCGGTAACTATTTGCTAAACAAAATACTACGGAAAGTACAGGTAGATATTTTTAAGGGCCGGTGTTTCTCCAGATTTAATATATCATAGATGTCGATTGGACTTTATACATCAAATGTTTATTGTTTTGACAGTTGATAGAGAAGAACCCAAACGACAATGACTTTTAAGTAGACAATCGTATACATAATATGATCTTTAATTTCTGACAGTTGATAGAAAATACCCACATATTTTGAAGAACCTTAACTGTTAAGAGGACATCATTATTATTAAAATTGGTATCCATTGACAGAAAACCCTACATAAGTTGTAGAAGAAAGTTGTTTATTAAACAGTTTTAAACAAGATGTTGTGTTCTTATAGTTGACAGAAGAGGTCCCGATTGGTGTCATATGTCAAGGAGTCATGGTCAACGTATGTACGATAATTGCACTATATACATGGATCAATATATCAATTTGACTCATTTTATAAACAAAATATTACCTTTTATCACATGACTGGTCTTTATTTTATTTCTGAATCGAATTAATTTTCGATTAAACAATATTTCATTTCCAAATCGTACAACATGAAAATAGACAATAAGCATATAATTAAACGCAGTGAAATATTTAGTGTATTTGAAAACAAGTCAAGTTAGACTGATGTACATTTCTTTCCATATATTAGGTATTTGCAATAGAAAAACGTATGTACATGTTTGATTAGAGTAATACTAAACTGCACAAAACCTAATAAATAATCAAGATAAATCAATTTCCTAGGAGTATTGCTACCTATATGAAACAGGAAAACATTAATTCAATTCATAAGTATTTTATAGTAATGAGAGATTATTTAAAACAGATTCCTTTATAATTTAAAATAGTGTTTGCAATATTTGCTATGATAAGTTAAATATAAGTTATGTATTTAGATGTTTTATATAGGCGTTTGTTTTAAAATTTATAAAAGCATAGATTTTGTTTGTTGATGAAATGTTAAAAGACTCTTTAAAAAAGTTTATTGTATTGACAGTTAATTGGTGTCCAATGTCAATGAGTCATGGTCAACGTAAGCACGGAAATGCTAATATGGACAGATCCGTGAACGAAGCACTTCGGGCAATGCGTATACTCCGAACACAGTAAGCCGAAAATTATCAATGGAAATATGAGAATGAAGTGTTTATCGTATCTAAATCAGGTTTCATTTTAATATGCAGGTTAACATGTAAGAATGTTTCATATAGTAAAGAGGATATTGAATGAGTGGATGTTTAATACTAAATTTATTTTGTGATTTCATGACTTAAAATCCTTAATTTTTCTGAATACTGCAGTTATATCCACAACTGACAAACTTCCACTTACATCCTTGTCAGTTTTTCAACTGACAACTGCCATATCCGATATGTTTTATTATTCTAGAAATGGGAACACTTTAAAAGAGGTCAGCCATGGACAGGTTCTTAATGTATTCAAGAAGATTAATGGAGACACTTGTAATGTCGCCGAGCCGCCGGAGGAATGCGACCCTGACGTCAAGTACAGAAGTGCAGATGGCTCTTGCAATAACTTAAGAAATCCTGAATGGGGCATGGCTGGTAGAAGTCAAGAGCGAGTCGTTCCGAATACGTATGGTAAAGTTTTTATTCCTATATATATAGTATGAAATATAAAGCCTTTCCAAATTGAGACTTTTTTGTAGATGGGACATTGAGTTATGTCAAATTGATGTAGAATTTGGAAAATACTTCAAGATGAGAAAATTTAATTTATTCAGAATAAGATATATTTTGATTAATAAATGGTTTATTTTTCTAGTTTATATTTGTAAGGTTGGTCTATTCACAAGTTTATTTTTCAAATTACTTCTAATTTCTTCAACTTTAGTCAAAACCTTTATCGATTGATTTCTTTCTTTCTTATCCTCGCATACTTACAACAGTAACAACAGTTAAATACTTGACAAAGAATTGCGACTGACTTAATTTGAATTTAAAAGTTAATGTATAAAATAGTTTTACCGATATGATGAAAACATATAACCTTTCAAAGTAAAAACTATGTAATATTAGGAGCATCGAAGCACGAGGATATCTGATTTGTACAGGGAACGTAGCCCCCGAGTATTAACCAGATGGCCGAGTGTTTTTGATGTTCCTTTTCTTTTGTATCATAGTCAAACATAAAAACACGTTCCCTGTGGCCACGATATGAAACCCGAATGAACGAGCATCTGAATATGATATTTCTATCGTTTTCCCTTTCTCTGCCATCAAAATAAATAAACCCCAGCAAAAATAAGCCAATCAATGGGCATGCTCTGGAGTGCAGGTAATTAATATCTACGCTCCAGTTAACGCACTGTACATGTATGTGTATACGATTCAACTCTGACATATTTTCAACAGAAAGGTCCCCAAACTATGATACAATTGAAAAGATGATAACTGTTAGTCATATTAATATCTTATTTATAAATGTTAAAAGTTTTAAATAAAAATAACAATTAGGTCTGTTTATCTATCGTTAATAGGAAAAAAATGAAACAATAATATGATAATGTGTTTGAATAGACAAAACGTGAGTGCACTCCTCCGAATTGTGTAAATTGAATTAAGTTTATCCTTGTGATGCTGGTATTAAAACTGTATGAACGAACTAAATAAATGAGCATGTGATGATGAATTTGCCGACACTCTTTTGTATTATTAGATATGAAGATTTTTTTGACAAATTATGTGATATTTTACACACGGTTGTTTGGAAATTATTGCAGTTTGGGTTATATTTCTAACAACCGTTTATATACGGTCATATAATTTGTCAGGAATATTTACAACGAATCTATAATTACAGCAAACTTCTTTTTTGGAGGACAAAATAAGATTTGTTCATAAATTGAAAACAGCTGTGTATCTAAAACTACCGGTATATAAACGTGGCGATTATCCAATGAAAAGCGACGTTACAAACGAGCAATATTATAAAAGTTCATAGAACAGGTGTATTTTTGTTTATCAGATGACGATCTCGGAACACCAAGAACAGTTGGTATCAACAATGCGCCACTCCCAAATGCGAGAACAATAAGTAATCACATACATAACGAAGCTAATCTAACTGAAGTTCGTAGCAAACACTTAACTCTGCATGCAATGGGCTTTGGACAATTTCTGGATCATGACTTAACGCTTACCCCAGAAACGTCAGGTAAATTTCTTCATTCCTTTCAAAAGCCTTGAAGTTTAGGTATTTATATAATAAACTCTGGCAAATGCGTCAGATAATTTATCATTTGACTGTGGATCATGGAAAAAATGCACGAATGACCGACACTAAGGTCAGTGTTTTTGATATCAGTGTAATGTATTCTCTTTTTTTTTCATTTCAGCGGTAGAACATTGTTGCGACGAAGCAGAAAGAGATGAGTAAGTTTTAAAACATTTTTGATATATATTCTTACAGGAAGCTTTCAATTTGTGTGATAATTAAATGAGCATGCGGTGAGCATGACCTATTAGCTGCAATACTGCTGTGCATATAACACAACTTCATCAAAGCTATACTTTGGAATATTATGAAACAAACAAACAAAACACAAAAATGAAGTTCAACTTTTCCGTCGACGATTTGGCTCATCTAGAATTGTCTATTCTAAACAATGCCTAGGGAAGCGAACTTTTTTTTAATGAAGTTCAACTTTTATTTCGACGATTTGGCTCATCTTAAACATGCCTAGCAAGCAATCTTGTTTTATTGAATAAAATTCTCCTAGTCTGATGCGTAAGGCACTTTTTTTATAAAATAAAGATACGCAACGATTAAAACAATGGTGTACAAACAGAAAGAAACATCATTATTGTTTGACTTCAATGAAACACACCGGTGTACCTCCATGCCTCAGAAAGGAATAACATTTTCCTTAATAAGAAAAGGCAAATATCAGTTTTATAGCATTCAAACAAGGGATTAGAGCATGTTAGATGTATAACACCTGAAGAAAGTAGAGCCAAATGTGAAATAATTTATCATAAAAGTAGTAAAGCCTAAACAAAAGAAGAATTTTGACTTCCATACAAAATATTAAATCACTATAAATGTACTAGTTGTAAAAACAACAACAGAAAAAACAGCAATAGAAGCTGAAGATGGTTCAGGTTATTTGCCACTGAGGAACGTTTTGAAAAAATAAAACAGGACACTAAAAGTGAAAAAGCTTTAAAGAAACAAAAGTATTTCTGGTACATAATGTGCTTTTAATTCAAACGCTGTGTCATGTTCAGTTTTATAATCATGAAATTTGACTGAAATGTATATATGATTGCAATTTTTCAGTGTATATATGTTTTAATGGTCATAAATACAGGAAAAGATATTGAATAGAATTGAATTGTTATCTTATTGATTGGCGCATTACTGATCAATGAAAAGAGTTTTAAATACAAATGTATTAAAAAGTCAATTTAGAACTCATTTGCATTGTAATCGGATTTCAATTCCTTGCAACAAATGATAATCAGCAATTGTAATTAGTTATCTCAAATTACATACAGTTCACGATTATCTCATGTCTGGTTGTATTAAAAAAAGTGTGAATATGAAAAATAGTCATAATGTGTTTCGTTTCAGCATTGACAATTGTTTTAACATAATTAGTCCAGAGGATGACGAATTCCAGCCAATATTCGAAAAAGACCATTGTATAGAATTAAAAAGATCTTCCCCCGTGCTTTGTCCAGACTGTGAGCATTTTTATTTATTAAAGTATCATCAGATCCATAAAGAATAAAAGTTCATCTTTACCGTAAGACTAGTGTTCTACCAAACAGAAAGCAGCGAACTTTTATTGATAAACAAACAAAATTAATACAACAGTATATAAGTAATCGGTTGCATGTATATGACAAAGCATGATAACAGGTCGTTGAGAATAGCATAAGGTTAAGTACATAATCTTTTTACTATTTCTTTTCTTTGCGAGCAGACAAAGTCATCTTATTTCGATAACTCACGGTAACAAAACCAGTCTCTGATAAGAGGTATAATTGAAACCGCCTCGTAATATGTTAAGGATGATCTTAAAGAAAGTTAAACTTACAAATTATAATTTATTAACATTTTACAAAGGGTTCTATTATACTGAATTACAAAATCAGTTTACGTATGTTTATTTGCAACAAACATATTAACTGAAGAGCATAAGGTCTAAAATAGCATTATTTTCCTTTTTTTCTGATGTCAAATATTTGTTTCAGCACTATCTGGTGGAAGACCAATTAGACAACAGGTTAACGCAATCACGTCTTTCATCGATGCTTCGAATGTTTACGGCTCTTCGCTAGAACAGCAAAAGGGTCTAAGAGACGGAGGTAAATACAATATGTAAAGCAATATCTATAACTCGTAGTTTGGGTTGAGTGCTTACATTTACAACAAATGTCAAACTTTTATACAAAGTAGCAATAGTTTTAGAAATCGTATATGCGTATATAGAATCAAGGTACAAATTAAATGCTATAGGTTTGGTTGAATATGCCAAAGTCCAAAAGAAATGTTCTATAGGGAGAGTACGAAAGTTATGGTATTTTGCCTTAATGTACATATTACATTAGGAAATTGATAAAACTGTAGTATAAATAGCACATGGTATAAACGTACTTTACCTAAACTGATAAGTATTGATTTAAACTAATTCTTTTAGGTGTGACAAATTAAAATATCTAAATATTGTTGCAATATTTATCCACCAATATTTTGGTAGGACATTTATCTTTAATTCAATTAGTGTTATTTTAGGCATAATCGTTTGTCTCACAAATATACCATGGATATCAAAATAGTGTGAGTATAAACATGTTTGATTCTATCTTATTTCATTCCAGACTCCTTTTATACATGCTATAAAATTAAAGATGTTTCAGCTCATTAATATTTTTTGGTAATTATTTCAGAAGACGGGAAGGGGTTCCTACTTAAAACAACTACCCGACAAAGTGGAGAGCGCATTCTAGATGGGGATCCTGCTGACTGTGAACTGACTGAGGCCAACCAACAATGCTCAAAAGCCGGTACATTACCACTTAACCTAGTTGAGAAAACATTAACCCATGCCACATACCTGCATATTTTCTTTGTATTGCGTTATTGAAATCTCTTAATTTTGAAAAAATCTGTTTCACATAAAAAGCAGGGCAAATAAATTACACAAATCTAGCAAGTAAAGGGTTTAATAACCGCAGATGATTACAATGAATGAATGAAATAGCTAGGATCAATAAAGCTGCATTGCTTGATGCCTGTGCAGCTTGTTTAGTAAAATAACACTTGGACGCCATAGGAAAATAAATCCAGATCGAATACAAGTTCAAAATCAACACACTCTTATTTGAACTCTATCTTGTTTTAAAGTAATTGATATATACAACTATGGACTGTTCGTGGTTGACTGTTTAAAGTTGTTAACTTTAATCCACTCGCCCCAGGCGCTGTGGGTTCGTGTCTAGCGAGGGGCTTTGGATTCTCAATTTTCGCAAATAAGGAAGCTATCACTCTAGCTTACAGAACGTATGTGTTTCTCCCCATGTGCCATTTCGTGCATAATATAATACAGGGAGAGACACCTCGAGGTTATCCTCTATGATAATTGAGTACAGCTGGTATGTCGCCATATGACCTTATCATTCTTGGTGCAATGTAAACCCCTGCCAGGCACAAAATATAAAGATATTTATGTATATTTTTCTCTTAACCTAAAGAAATTTGGATTATTAATTGCCCTTTTTAGCCAAAAAAATATATTTTGCATATCAAATAATTGTATAACGGTTTATCTTAAGCTTCAGGTTTAAACTTTACATTTTCATAGATTTCTATTTTAACATTTATTTACATAAATGATTTTGTTATTTGTACAAAAGGGGATGCTCGGGTAAATGAAGTTCCATGCTTGACGGCGTATCACTATTTATTTGTGAAAGAACATAACAGAATTGCCAACATATTGAAAGGTGAATATTTCACACTATTAGATTATAAGCACATTTGGTTTCAAATTTAGATATTAAATGTTAGATTTTAAAAAGTAGTAATTGTTAATGCTTATATAGATACAGATAATGTTTTATAATCGTATATTTGCATGTCATATTGACTGTTTGTTCTGTTGCTTTTTCGATTTTTTTAACAAATGTTTGGTCATATCTCGGCAGTTGGTCCATCTTACAGGTTTTCCTGGATAAATAACCAGTAATAACCTTTTTCTCAGCAAGTGATCGACTTTCAACATGTTTAAAAATGTTGAATTCTGCTAAAGCTGTTCCTAATGGGTGTGGACGGAAGATCGCAATTCCGGTACCGTCCATGACCAGGAGCAATCAAACCGACCCTGCAACATTTTCAAAATTGCCGTTTTGGACGTTCTATAGGGATTCCGTTTTTTCTGTATTTCACTATACCTATTGATTTTTAAATCAACGATGACGGTGACGATGGGAAACAAATGTTCATTATCTAGACTCAATGGCATAGAGACAATGGAAAATTAATACCGATAAATCTTCAGATCTAAAAATGAAACTTTTGTCTTATCATTCTTAAAGTTAACACTTTTGTTGTTTTACTTTCAAAATAAAAACGTTCAACTGAAGACTTAATATCAAACCAGTCATTTCAAACTTATTGTTTTAATTTATTATTAGCATACATATTGTACTGCAAAACCTATTTAACTATCTGTGACATATCATCCTGTTGATTTACGTATTATTTTGTCAACATCAGGTCATCTTCATAGAAAAGGACTAAACAAATGACTTCTCATCTTTTAGATTTCTACCCGACACCCGGCAGTGATGAAATAATATTCCAGGAGACAAGAAAGCTGGTCATAGCCATAATGCAAACAATAACTTACGACCAGTTTCTTTCTGCCATCCTGTCAGATGATGCAATGACAAAATATAAACTGAAATCTTCTGAGGATTACTCCTATGACGCCGAACAAAATCCAACAATTATTAACGCATTTGCTGCAGCAGCGTACAGGTAGGTGACATAAAATCAATGTCGTATCATCACTATTTGAGCCGCGTCATGACAACACCAACATAATGGGTTTGCGACCAGCATGTATCCAGACCAGTCTGCGCATCTGCGCAGTCTGATCAGGATCCATGCTGTTCGCTTACAAACTCTATAACTAGTAGAGAAACTGATTGAGAACAGAATGGATCCTGATCAGATTGCGCGGAAGCGCAGGCTGGTCTGGATCCATGCTGGTCGCAAACCCATTATGTTGGTTTTGTCGTGACGCGGCTCATTTTATGTTGCTTTTAAATCCGAAAAGACGAAAACTCACTAAAAGATATGACAAGGTCAAATTCTAACAATGCGAAAAAAGCACAAAGGCAACACTCCAAAAATGCGACAATGCAAAATATCATTCATGCAATTATGTGAAAAAGCGAATTTACAAAGAAGGAAAGACGCAAATAAGCAAGTTTACGACAAATAAAAGGTGACGCCACCATAGATATAGGATAACTAGTATACACCCGACTAACGTTCAAACTATATAATTATTTATTATTCGGTGTTCTAAAATATATACAGTATATACATGTATAATATATTTTTAAAGATAAAAAGATAAAAATGTTTGTTTATTACATGTTAAATATCTTGAAAAATGTGATCTCTCGGAAGCATTATAAAACAGCAAAATGACATGAAAATTGCAGACTCAGTTTGATAAAGTTTGTAAACGAGGGATAATGAATTTCTCACGCCCCTAAACCTTTACCCGCATTGTTTACAAAGAAAGAATTAATGTAGGACCTGGTATAATACACCACCACTGAGTGAGAAACAAAGTAAAGAAAATAAAGATTACTCCAATAACAACGGTGATATGAATATTAACGACATGCTCAAAGCAGATGTAAATATCTTTAAATATTCTACTCTCGTTGTGTGTCCGAAAACGCATTGATAACTGTTTGACAATCAGAAAAAAAATTCTTCTTGGACATGAATCATTTGAGTTTGTATATGGATATTATAAACATCCCTTTTTATATATAATTATCTATAGAATGGGTCATTCATGGATATCACCCGAGATGATTCTATTCAATAATGACTATCAACCAATTGATCATGGGGCAGTGAAGACAGAGGAAACTTTTCACAATCCAAGTTTGACGTACAGACCGCGGGCATTTGATAGACTGATGTACTGGTTGACAGGGGAGGCTTCACTTGAAACAGACAGGTAGTGAACAAAATGGACGATTGGTACACTCCATTTCACATGAACTCAATATTTCTTGTATGAATTAAGAGTTTAATATTAATTGTTTGAAAATGTTTAATAAAAGAGGGGATCAATCCCATTTTCCTCATTTATGCTTAGACTTTTATCTTCAACGTGTATGAACAAATTGAATTTGGAAAGTGAATGTATAATATTTTATCTATAAGCATCATTTCATTTAAAGATTTATGGTAGAGGCAGTTCGAAGTAATCTCTTTCTGAACAAAGCTGAAGGTTTTGCCTTGGATTTGGCTGCAATAAACATACAGAGAGGTAGAGATCATGGCATAGGGACATATAATGACTACAGGGAGTTCTGTGGACTTGACAGACTTGCGGACGAATGGGATAACGAACCTTTAGATGATTTTGTCGAGGGAATAAAAGACAAACTAATTGAAGCAGGATACGAGTAAGGGATTATTTTAATTATTTATTTACACCGAATTTTTAACTTAACCGAATATGATCTCTTCATTGGGATGTAGGCAGATATTCAAAGAGGTTAATGTCAAAAAATGAAAATCAAGTAGTTGACATTGTTCCTACCTTATTTGTTGGATTCCTTAAGTGAATTGCTGTTCTACAATAATATAACTTACGTAATACAATGAATAATTATGTGGATAGTATTTAACATTAAATATGTTAACAAACCACGAAAAAACTATACATAGGCGTTGTTAGCAAGTGTGAGATACATGGTCCTACATATATTATTATTTAACCCATTACTTCATGAGCATTTTGTGAAAAATGGCTGTTTTCATTGAAAAGTCTCCCGTTACAAGTTCAAATTGTATCATACTGTAAAAACTGCTTCAACACTAATCAAACTTGGCACAAATGTTGACTGGACCATTGCCCTTGCAACAACATGCTCAGGCTTAAATTTTCTGTTACCATGGCAACGAGGGGACATCTCAAAATTGCCAAAAATCACTATTTTGCGTTGATTTTTTCCATCAAAATTGATTTCAAAGTGCTGCAACTTCTCAATGGATTGAGATAGAGTCAAATGCTTTTCAGCGATGGTTACGCGTTACCTTATGATCAATTTGGGGTCATTTACAGCCTCTCACATGTCCAAAATTTTCTTGCGATGAGATGGACTCCGCCCCCTTCAAACCCCCCAAACAGAAGGGGGCACATCCCCCTTCTGGCAACTCCCTGATGTATCTTTTGGTTGGGGGCCGCGCCGAAAAAGAGGTCACTTTTTTAACAACATTTCTCAAACAAAAACAAGTGTTTGGGGCCTAAATAAGGCATTTTTCATCATTTGAGACAACAAAAAGGGGGGTGAAAAAGGCGTTAAAAGGCGTGTATATGAAGTAATGGGTTAAATGGCAGATTATAAATTGTTCTAGAAAATTATTATTATTATTATTATTATTATTATTATCACCCCTTTATAAATCAATGAAAACGACATCATTTAAACAAACAATAAACTTTTCTTTCACCAGGTCGCCAGCAGATATTGATCTCTTTACTGGTGGCCTCATAGAAAAATCAGTGGAAGAGGCAGGAGGTTTAGGTCCAACATTTGAGTGTCTGATTGGAGAACAATTCAAGAGAATGAAATTTGGAGACCGTTTCTGGTTTCAGAGTAGAGCAACCGGTTATAATAAAAGTACGTTTTTCCACTTACATTTTTCATAAGTCAGAAAATCATAAAATTATACTGAAATACGTTTCATTTTCTTTAAATACGAATACGTGTATTTTAAAACAGAGACAAATACAAAACTGTAATAAGGTTGATATTGACTTTTATTTCATTGTCAGGAATACCTCGATAAAATCATTTAGGTAAACTGGTTTTTACTATTTTGACCCGAAACCTGATCGTAAAAGATAAATTTTGAAAAATGTAAAACAATAAACTCGTATTGTTTATCTTTTTCAAGCCAGCTATTTTTATGGCATGCTTAGAAATTGAAAACAAACTATTCGCAAATGTATTTTGATAAAATGTTTAACGGAATGGTGATTACAATTCACATTCCCATTCGTACTATCAAAATGAAATATTTATCCAATTTTATTCAACTATAAGATTTCAATTGTTATTTATCCCAATCTTTGACATCCATAGGACTAATAATTATACAATGTCACAATTATGTCGCATAAAAAGTGGCATATCAAAATCTGGAATACAACAATTTCTGCGGTAATATCATTTTATTTCGTCGTCTCGTATCGATCGCAACAGACAACTAAGCATCTTTAAGAGTACAAGTATAAATACATTTATTTTATTTTTAAAGGCTTATCTTTGTAAAATTTCAGAGCAAATTGATGAGATACGGAAATATACGTTATCAAATGTACTCTGTGCAAATTACGGCTACAGTACTGTACAGTATCCTAATGCATTTAAAAACAAGTAAGTCTGTATTATCTATAGTAACGTATGTTTGCACAATCCCAATAAGTTAAAATCAAAATCACATTCACATCATTAGTAACTAATGAGTAACATTACTGTATTTATCCATATTTTTTTATAATATTTAGCGTAAACAACAAGACTTTTCAATCGTATCTGAATGTTTATTTAAGCATCCTTGGGTAAAATATTTTTATCATTGAAATTTATTGAAATCTATGTTATTTTTATCCGAATATGTCCAAGTTGAAGAAAATAATGAATAAATTATCTATGGTCATGTCAAATTGGCCTTATCATAAATAAACTGCCAGTTTTTTTTAATGAAACTATATACATATGTATTCATATTGTAACCACCTATAGTGTGTAGGATTTAAAACACAACTTTGTGTGAAGTTAAAACATGTTTATTTTATATATACAATGAGACTGTGTAGCTATATACATATTTTCCAATATGAAATTTATGCATAGTATATCTTTCAAAAAATGGTGATGATTTGTCATTCAATTTATCATTTTCAATAACGTCAAGCCTAAAGGTTGTAAACTTTTCCCAAACAGTTTAGTTGTGCGGCTTTTAAGTCCATGACGCCTGTAATTTGGTAGTATATATGTTGAATATAATTTTTGACATTAATAGCTATTTAACACGTGTATTAAAACAACACATAAAATGCTTTGATCTGTCTTAACAGAAACGAAATGAGAAAGTGTGATGAGATTATCGACATGAACTTCACCGTTTTTGACCCAAGGCGATCTCGACCTTCAAGACCCCCACGACCTCCACGACCCACTCCACCACCAAGAGGGCCGCCACAGAAAAAGAATGAAATTGCTATTGAAGATGAGCTTCTGCATCTGATCAAAGAACTTGAAGATGAACAATAAAAATTATACGCATCTAATTAAAAATATTAAACTCATCTGGCAATAAATATCATTATGTTGTAATTATAGAAAAGAAATTAAGAATGATAAAAAATGTATTTTAAGAGTTGCAAATCACATCAAGCATTTTTGTAATTATTTCTTAAGATTCAAAAAATCAGTATGTAATTGTCTTACAGTACAGCACAGTTACTATGTCGGTATACAGTTTAAATGTCTTACATGCCAGTAGAATACGATCAAATTACATTTCTGTTTTTGTTGCCCTCACTAAAATTTTCTCCGAAACATAACAGCTATATTGTTTAACACTAAGTCTGCTTCACATATATTTTCCATGATTGGTATAAATATATTCTTAAGTTAACTGCACGCACATTTACGTGATGTTTGCTTGAAGTTCTTGCAAGTGAGTGAAAAAAGACGCATCCTTGTTCTTAAAATCGAATAAATTTAAGATAAGATCTACATAGATTTTACTTTCTAAGAATTGATAAGCATTGTTCTGTCATTGCACCTGGTTTATATGAATATGTTCTTAATTATATTTATTAAACAACAACAACAACACTCTTATTTTGAATCAAGTGACAAAGTGCAACAGTATGATCAGATATACTATAATATAAAATGTGTGTGTTTTTTAATGTTTTTTGTTTACTATGTAATTGAACATATCATCAATATATCATGCATTATAAAGCAACATGGGGACAGTTATTGTGTCGTCATCAGAATACATTCATAATGACAACACATCTAGAAATAGACAACATGGCACGAGTTAGAAAGAAAACGTGCATGCTACATAATCAAAATCATATTTTTTCTTCATGTTTTTATTTTTGTCCTATTCTTTTTGTACTTTTTCATTAATCGAGTCACTGCATAACAGCATATTTTAAAAATGATTTACAAGTTTGTTGCTTATTTCTTGTATGGAATATTTGGTTCAGGTAAAAAGGATATAAAAAGAATCAGTTATAATGTTACATGTATATATCTTTATTTGAAAGCTAACCAGTGACATATTACATTGTAATTATTTAGCCTGATCTTTGAAAATATAAACCGTTCATTTATATGTATACAGTAGTTTTTATATCCCACCACACTAAAAGACACGCTCTCTCTTCTCACTCTACGTTCAAACAGTCCCTTATGCGCAGTGAGACCGGGATAAGAAAAACGGAGACGTAGTCAGAACGTCATTGGCCCGATGAGAATATGAAAATGCGCGTAGTGAGATAATGGATGCCTTGTGGACATGGCAAGGACGTAGAGAAAAAGGAAAAAACAGCATTAAATTTCCAAATTTCACCACGCGGCGCCACATGAATCGAAATTTCGAAGATATAGTACGATCTTGCTAGCCTTCATTCAAGTGTAATAATTTATTATAAAATGATTCCTCCATATAAATTTCATTTTTTTTTATTATTGTAGAATGTTAAGAAGTGAATTTGTCCCTGTTTTAGATTAGTTTCGCGCACATATATAACCAAGAGTTTTATATTATTGTTTAACTTTGGTCTTTTTGTTAATTATACTTTTGCAATTTTGTATGAAATTTTGTTAAAGACTACAATAGAAAGTTGCAAACTTCGATATAAAAAAACAAACCTTTCACATAAACAGTTTTCAATTTTTATGCCAAAAATATTTGTCTATAACATATTGTATTTGACTAGATTATTATATCTAGACTGTTAATTATAAACATGTTATACCATAATTTGTTAATAGATTACATTATATTATAAAATTTAAAATCATTATTATACAGATATTTTTGTTCAAAGTAAGAATTTTTTCCAGATATCAATCAAATAAAAACGTCAGGAGGAGGTTATCTCTGACCAGTTGTTAAGATTTTGTAAGTAAGCATAGTGATAGCAAAAGATAAACACTATTAAAAGAGAAACAGATATGAAAGGTTTGAAACTGTAATCATATGTTATGCTGGAAGAAAGTGAACAGTTTGTTTTAACTGAGTGTGTTAAACAACAATATTTATTATACCTTATGTATTAATCAGATACCATCGATTGTTGTATCAATGTAATAAACTAAATATGAAGTTAAATGATTTTTGTTATGTTTTAAATTATTCTGTGACAAATAAGATGTAATGCTTTATTACAAAAGGTTTATGTTCGACCTAGGACTGTCTATTGCAGAAAATTTTGACGTACCATTTCTTGTGCATCAAATGCGTTTAACAGAAGTGTGGTCACTTATCAGTATCTTTTGTGATTTAGATCTGTTACTTTTTTTTAAAAAGAAGTGGTTTATGGTAAAACTCCGATATTTATATCATTATCACCAATGAAAGTTTATTTTATTTCTTCAAGCTTCCTGCAGTCCCTCAAAAGTCATTAAATGTTTGTAAAGGTACAGTAAGACTTAAGCCCAGACGGAAATCATGACCTTGGAAAAGTAGAAACAGGCAGTGTCACGGTAACTATTTTGTAAACATCTTGTTGATGATAGAAGGTACAGTACACATTGTAAGCGTTTGCTGTGAGAAGCATAACAAATGTCGGATAAACCAGTTTTTAGCAGGTTTCAATGTCAAAAGCAATAAAACGTCTAAATATATCAATGTAAGTCGGTCACGTGCTATTTTGTAACTTGATGGTCACGCATACAAATATGTGTCCCTTTGTTTTAAAATATGTTCGTCACAAGATATATATACTGCTTAACAACTAAAACTCCGCGAGTCGGATGTGTCGCCTTGTGAACAATATAGTTTAGGAGAAATGGCCACTACAAAAATAAAATTTGAAAATCAACAGAGGGCAAAAACTAAAAAAATAAGAAATGCAGAGCAGCAGTTTCTGTGCACTGCACTTCTTAATAATTAAAATCTATCATCCTATTAAGTTTCAAGTTTAAAGCTTTTATAATTTATGAGAAATGGCCTGGACAAAAATAAAGTATGAACATTAACAAAGGGCAATAACTCAAAAAATAAGAAATGCAGAGTACCAGTTCTTAAGCACTGCAGTTCTTCTTAATGAGATCTATCATCCTATGAAGTTTCATGTCCTGGTTTTATACTTTAGGAGAAATGGCCTGGACAAAAATAAAGTATGAAAATTAACAAAGGACAATAACTCAAAAAATAATAAATGTAGAGTACCAGTTCTTGTGCACTGCACTTCTTCTTAATGAGATCTATCATCCTATTAAGTTTCAAGTTTAAAGCTTTTATACTTTAGGAGAAATGGCCCAGACAAAAATAAAGTATGAACATTAACAAAGAGCAATAACTCAAAAAAAAAGAAACGCAGAGTACAAGTTCTTGTGCACTGCACATTTTCTTAATGAGATCTATCATCCTATGAAGTTTCAAGTCAATAGCTATTATAGCTTAGGAGAAATGGCCCGGACAAAATAAAAATATGAAAATTAACAAAGGGCAATAACTCAAAAAATAAAAAATGCAGAGTACCAGTTATTTTGCACTGCACTTTTCTTATAAGATTATCATCCTATAAAGTTTCATCTGCTTATATTAGGAAAATGCCAAAAATAGTTGAAGTATAAAGGCATACAAAATAGCTCATTTTTGTGCTGCCTTTTTATGAGATCTTCATTCATAAGTTCAGTCATATTTTATACTTTAGGAAAATGCGGACAAATAAGTATGAATTACAAAGGACATAATCAAATAAAGCGATACGTTTAAATGCATTAGGTTATTATGCATGTCGTTTGAAGTCTATCCAAATTATAATGACTGACTTATGCTCCGGACAAGCTTAAGGGGACGCCGACACCGACAACGACGCCGACGACGACAACGACGCCGACACCGCCGACAAAAGTAACCCCTATATGTCGCCTTTTTCAAGGCGACACAAGAATTATCTAAATTCAACTGATTTTTTTTTTGCGGATACATTAATGTTTTAAAAGCCATAAAGTTATATATTGGTTAATAAATAGATCAGTTTTTCATTAAACATGAAAGATGTTTAAAATAGAGATGTTTTTATCTCGCCCATTCACATACATCGTTATCTTATTTCGAAAGTATGTTTCGAATTACTATATTCTCGTTCTGTCCTTAATTTTGAACAAAGTACACTTTTGAAAATTTGCTTTGTCATATCTTGCAATACATGTATTCATTACTTAGTAGCCTATATAAAAGGCGCTCTCAAATCAATTTTGTGAGATCGGATTTGCACTTGCAGTTTCTGTTATTTAAGTTTTAAATAAACAGTGATGGTTAAATTTTCAATCCTAATTTGTTTTGTATGTATCTTCTATCAATACTCAAATGCAACTTCTATTAATACCAAAGGTAAATTCAAAACTTTTTATACCTATGAATGTAGTCTTAATTTAAACGGCGAGTAATTTCATTGAATAAAGTACGGACTGTGCTTGCAAATTTTGTATGCGAGTTTGGTGATTTATACGAGGGTTATCTCGGTAAATCCCGGACTTTACTTACATGTATACTCGTAATAACAACAATTTATAAAAACAAATAAAAAAAAAACAAGTGAAAGTGTGCTTGTTAAAGATGTCCAGATATTAATATAAAAAAAAGCGTTGACCCCATCAAGAATTCCTCAATTTTCTAACATTTATCGATAGATATCATGAAATGAACTAAAATACGAGAATAGTCTTACTCTAACCTTTTTTACATATACGGTCTTAAATGATCTCAAGACATGTATTATACCTCGAGATTCTATATTGAATTCTTTGTTTGTCTTTCAGCTAAATCAAAACGTTTTTTCATGGACTGGATGGCAACAGCTTCAAAGTTCTTTATGTCTCCGATGACTATACCAATGTCGATGTTCTTCAAATCCGAGTGTGTTAGGTGCAAATGTAACACCGAATGCAACGGAGAGAAATTTGCAGAGACAATATTTGGAGTTAAACCTGATGGTACAATCATTTTTATACGTCAAAAACAAGTCTATATACAAGATTGAGGTTTGAATTGTAAACGAAGAATGGGTGTATGGGTATACAGAGATATTTTATAGTGTCAGAACTAATAGTACAATGTATATCTGCCATTTTTGTCTGCTACATGCATATGTGAGCATAAAATAAAGAGCAATTAACCGTATAATACAACATATGTTACATATACTTGATATAAATCTTATTCCTATTAAACTTCCACACTTAAACGTTTCTTAAATTTTACTTTGCAGATAGATCAGTTTGCGGAGGAGATTACTGGGATTCCATTCATTGCAGCAACGGTAACTGTATTTACTTCCGTATACTTACCGTATACCGTATAAAAACCCCATTGCACAGTGCTTCACTTGAGTTTTGTTTACGTCTTAAAAACTGTATGATACAGAGTAATCTTTCAAAACGTTATTTTAGCAGTCAGCGTACATTAAAACAATTAATGTTAAAATGTTTAAACATTCCATTTTGTCTACCTGAGGACGCACATGAGATAAATACAACACTTATTTTTCAAACATGTAGTGTTAACATCTGTGATACTTACCGAAGATAATTCAGTTTTCTTTTGACAAAGCTTCTTGGTATAACAAAACTACAATGTTTAACATGTTATTGTAAAGAAAACACTTTTGATTTACGCTGCAGGTCAAAGTAAAACAAATGCAACGATTCAGCCAACTGTTGCCAATGTGGCTGTAGCTACAGGTATGTAAGAAACGATAGACAGTTTCAAGTTTTGGAGAGAGAAAAGCTAATGCTCTAATAATTTGTTAAAAATTTAGAACCAAACGGATATTTGCCCTGACAAATTTTATCTTTTCATAAATTCCATTCTTATGTTGTTGTTTGAATATATTCGTATAAAATTAAGTTCTAGCATAAAGGCTTAAGGAAGGAGGCCCAAAATATTTTCGGGTAACATTTTCTTTTTAAAAAATGAGGCATCTCTACGGCGTAACATTCTCATTAGTGTGTTTCAGTGATAATCGCTAACAATTAAAGGGCGGGTGGAGTTACACTAGGTAAGGCCAAAAAAGCCCGAAGCTCAGGACTTCAATGTCTCGTTACTATAACATAGATATTCTAATGACATTGTATCCAAGTATATACATGTACATGTATTTTGTAGCCCAGATCCCATTAGGTCCTGGATGTGACAAATTGTGTGCAATTACTGCAGTCGCTAAATCAAAGCCACAAACGAACCCAAATGCCAGTGTATGTCCAAAAGGTGTTTTAACTAGCAACGACGCTCTCCCAATGAATTGTTGCAAATTGAATGCATCCAACACATGGCAAAAGGGGGCAAAGGTTAAATTTTGTTTCGATAATAATGACATTCACTGTTGACAATGACCGTAGATTATCATAGGTGTGGTTGAACAATCTGGTTACAATTGTCTATTTCGCGTATTTTAGTCTTATTAACTTTGCAAAACGCCATTTGTTTAACGATTTGAAATTACATGTATAATGTACTTGCCCTTTTATCATTTGTTTTTATTTAAAATAAACGACTCGTTTGTGATTGCACTCAACCTATTACCGCTTTTATCTCTATATAAGAATGTGTACTTTGATATAACTTCGTGTAACCCAAATGGAAGCATTCGTTACTGTCTTCTCATATTTGATGATGTAAATGCGTGAACGTTAGACGTAAGATTAATTCAAACCAGTCGACAAATCAAATGAAATTTCTTATAAAATCGTAACGTTTATACCTGAAAACATTTGTTAAAGTATCTCAATTCCTGTAATTTACTATTCAAATTTTTATTTCTTTGTTGTTTTTGAATTGGCATTTTATCACGACTTTATCCGTACAAGTGACAAAATCTGTTTGATTGTTTTCAGGTTTTTCCAAACTGTCAGGCAATTCCCCATTATACCCCAGTAGGGGCATTCATCAATAACATTTACATACCTGGATCGGCGGGTGTCTTTACTGGATGCTTGACCAACGGGGAATCCGGATTTCAGGTAAATCAATAATACCAAAATCATTTTAATAACGATTTGTATAATGGACCTTACATCGGTACGTACATGTTATTAAGTGGCACGGGGCATCGGCTAATGATTGAAGATTAACTGCTATGTGTCAGACGGGGCTACGTATAAAGCGGTGCAACTTGGGTCATTTAGAGTTAGCTGTCGATGCCATGACGGAAGATGGGGAAAGTGGCCCTACATGGTATACAGGTACGACAAAGAACAAGGAAGGGTAAAAGGATTCGTGACCTCCTTGTACGCAGTGACGTCTTGAAAGGCAGGCTCTGATTGACACCAACAGTCTACATCAGGGATTCCTCCTTTATTACTGCCCCAGGTTACTGAACGTTTATGTGCTCATTGCCCGCGGTACAGTGACATACTTTCTACTCAAGATTCATATCTTTGGTAACACTCTTTTACCGAGGTAAATAATCAATACTTGGTAATTACCGAGGTAAATAATCAATACTTGGTACTTCCAAATTAAACTCTTAAGGCATGACTAGTGACTTGTCAGAGATCCGTACAAAATAGCGAAAGCTACTTTTTGTGTGCTTTAAAGAGAGGATAGACCTTCATTAAATACAGCCATATGACCCATTATTCAAAGCTACCACCGATGCTACATTTAAAGATACACACCACTGTTTACGTACATACTTAAATTTTTGTGATTAGTTTCAGCAAAATTGTTGACAGCTTTCTATCATAACAACAGATGTCTTTTTAATGGACGAGCCTAGTTGCAATCTAAAATTATACATATACATGTAGCTATAACGACTTTCGTTACACCTCTGCATCACCAAACATGTATGATTTGAAGTCGGCAATTTACTAACTGCAGGTAGTTAGTAACCCAGGAAAGCCTGTGTGATATTCCGACTGCCAGAGTCATGGTTTAAACTAAAAAACCAACCAAACATCTTTGCGCGAAGTATATGAATACATACATTAAGCTCTAGCGTATGATAGGGCATAATAAGATGGCGTTACCATTACCATGACATTGTTCGATTGGGGTTAGCTGCCGATGCCTTAACTTAAACTGAAGGGAATGTCCCTACATAGTAGGCAATGGTAAAAGTAATCGTGACCCCTTGTACTCAGTAACGTCTATAAAGGCAGGTCTTTTGATTGGCAAAAGTATTATGGTATTTGTTTGTTTATTTATTCATTCATTTCAGATGATATACCAGGACTGTGGTGTCAACCCTGGCCTTCTTCACGTGACCAAACAAAATACAGCGAATAATGATCCTGACTTATTTTACATTATCTAATAATTGTATGTAATAGTAATAAAAGTTTTCTTTAGTAAAAGATAGTTTTTGTGTTTGCATTGTGTTGTTTATATGCAGGTAAAACTATACACAATGTATATTATTAGTGATTATTGTTATCAGTGTATATTTTATACTATAGCCATTGTCACATTGGTCTGGTTCGAAAGAAAATCGACAGATAAATTTCAGGAGGACAGGAGGCCTAAGTTTTTATTGCATAACACCGAAAGAAAACAATTTTACTTTTTAACCCTATTTTAACGGTATATCGTTAAGTGGTTAACATGTATCGTTCTATAAATACCGCTTATTAATTCCCATTTCTTTGGGATTGAATAGCGACCTTTACGACTAAGACATGGAAAAATGCTTAAGAAATGATCTTCTTTTCCGTTTCCTTTCAAGTATGTTTCCTTTTTCTTGTACCTGCAAAATTGTCACTTACGCTAAACATTTGAATCTATAAAATGACACCCTTTTATAAAATTAAACGTTGGATTCATATGAACGTTGAATATGCATATGCACACACTTGATAAGAATAATTCTAAAGATGTAGATTAGAATGTGATAAAATATTGTCATCAAGTTTTGTCTACAACACAATCATGTAACAGGGTGATTGACACATGATTATTTAAAGCATGTTATCTCAGAATGATTGCCGCTTAAGGCGGTGCTAGGGGACGTATAGAATGTTTCAACCTTTTTTATTATCCCTCATGTACAGACTCAATCAAACCGAGACTGCATGTCTTTGTCATTCTGTTATAATGCAACACCCTTTCTCCAGATCTTCCAATGCCAAAACTATATATCATGTAATTCTGTTTGCCACGTATTCATCAGTGATCGGATAGGTACAAGCATCATGCGATTAGCATGGTTTTAACAGGTGTCAAGTGCTATGTGGCCGCTGTACAAAGTTGCCCCGTACTTCACTTCAGTGTTGTTATGTATTTCTGGTCCTTCGGGATCATTGAAACGTGTACCAACACTATTAAGTGTTAAGAATTGAGAACCGCTCCAGGAAGTGCTAGGGGCGCAAGGGGTGTTGCACTTATTCATTATCCTTTTTGTACAGACTCAATCAAACCGAGTCCTCAATTTCCATGTAATTTTGTTGTAATTAATGCTGCGCTAAGCCATCATGCATTTTGGTATATTTTAACACTTTTTTCAACAAATAGCCATATCAAATGTTAATCCAATTCTATTTGCGTAATAATGGCAGTTTTTGTTAAACATTGAGGTTTTGTTAATAGCTTATGATTTTATTATGGCAGTGGGCATGCAACAAGAATGACTGACCACTAGTTATTACTGTTACTATTACTGTTTCCCGATTTGGACCGTGTAAGACAAAGATAAACTACAACAATGTCACACAAATACCTCTTATCTTAGTTCGGCATAACCAGAATCGAATTACGTGCCATTTTATAAACTTTAAACGTGAACATTTAAAATTGAATTCCTTATTTAATTTAGTTTTCGATTGGTTCCGTAAGCCAGTAAAGTATGATAGTAAAACTGGTAGAGTTAGTCTTTCTTACATATCTGTGCTGTCCTGGTACAGATGCACGGTCTGTCAAATTCGAAGGTAAGCTTATTTATTGTCATATATTTCTTTGTGACAAATGAGCCATGTCACGACAAAACCAACATAGTGCGTTTGCGACCAGCATGGATCCAGACCAGCCTGCGCATCCGCGCAGTCTGATCTGGTTCCATGCTGTCCGCTATCAGTTTCTCTACTTGTAAAAGAGTTGGTAAGCGAACAGCATGGATCCTGATCAGACTGCGCGGATGCGCAGGCTGGTCTGGATCCATGCTGGTCGCAAACGCACTATGTTGTTTTTGTCGGGACACGGCTCAAATCATTAATTGATTTTTAATGCTGCAGTGTTTTGTTTTTGTTTGGTGTAGCGCCAGTTTCAACAATATTCTTTACTCATCAGCATGCGGGCAGATTCCTGAAAAGTGTTCATTGATGGTTTTGAAGCAGTTGTCCATTTTTTTTTATTCTTTCCTTTTTTTAATTCGTATTTTTTTGTGTCCGAAAAGAACTTTTTACAAGGACAAAGGAAGAATGACGTTCAAAATATTGTGACAAAGAAAAATGCCTTCTCTAATGTCAATATATCGAGTTGACAAACGTTACTATGATAAAATAAAACAACAGAGCACGAGTTATTTATATAAATAATAAATATGCATATAACTACAGCAACAAGGTTTTTATGTTTGTAACTTTGCAGGATCAATCATTTATAAGAACATATTTAACAACGACGGAAGATAAATTTCTAGATAAAAGTTAGCGCTTGCTTCTTACATTCAAAATTTGAAAGCAGTAAATTTTGTGTAAGTATCAACGGAATTCTTTGACCGAAGATAAGATAGGAAATGGTTATACATGTATAAATAAAAGAATCTGATAGTTTTCTCACTTAAAATGTTTATAAACTTATGTCAACGACCCCATACATAAGGTGTCTATTGAATTAATCCTTGTTCACTTAAAACTATGTACGTCAATTATATCAGCAAAGATATAACGATTAAATTCCTTGCTAATATAGATTTATCAACCATTTTTCAGAAAATTCAAAGCGTTTCATCTTAGACTGGGCAGCCGCTGCGGCTAGCTTTCTCACTCATTCAATTAATGCATCCGTCTCAGTGATCTTTAAGGCGGAATGTGTCACGTGCAAATGTACGCAGGCGTGTAGTGCGGAACAGTTTACCCATTCACTTTTGGGAATAACTCCAAGTGGTATAAATGTTACTTTACTTATATTTATATACATATCTCATAACTTTGCATTACAATGTTCCTTCGTGATCAATGGAATCAAAAGTAAGTAACGTAGATTTGGTCTGGTTGACTTTGTCCATGCATGAAAGCTAATGGAAAGTGCAACTTCTTTCACGCTGTCTAGCACCGGCTGAAGTAGTATGCAATGTTCAACTCTTAAAATATTCAAATCATTGACTCTGAAGGACCTTTGTAATAGAACAACCTTGAAATGATGAATTACGCGTTACCTCATCACAATACATTTGTTGTTTCGAGCTTATTGCTGTTTTTTTATCATTGTTTAATGAAAACAAATATTTATTCGGTTTAATACCATTGCATGTCTCTTTTAGCTCTATAAGTTACTTCTATGTCGCTTAAATCATTTACTAATATGCCGTTATTGCTTATATTATACATGTATATTAACCAGAGTTAACTCATTTTGTTGTAGAGAGAATAGCCTGTGGTGTCCAGTACTGGGATTCAATTGACTGCACAGGTAAATATTTATAAACTTTTCTAACCATTTCTAAAAAGTCAAGAATAACAAACAAACAAAATTTATCTACTCCCGCCAACGTTTCGAGGGGTTAAACCCCTCTTTATCAAGGACTTTGTTTCTGTTTATTTGTGGAGTAGATAATTATAAATTAATTGTTTCCAGTATGATTTTAAAATAATAAAAGAAAGAAGTAATAAACGCAATTTTTTAAACAATATCGACAACGAAAGTAAGTTTTGTCTATATATATAAAAATATTACAGGATAAATGTATCCTTCTACATGTACATGTATAAGTATCTGCAGAATCCCGAGGACCTATCTAAAGCCTTCTGTAGATGTTAATGCATGAAAATAATTGCATAAGCGCTATTCTTGCATAAATCATATTATGCATTTTTTGGTTTTGTTTGTTTGTTTGTTTTTAGGGGTTTTTTTTTGTTGTAATAAAGGTATGTGGTCTAAGTCGAGAGAAAATCGTATGCAGCTATCCCTTTTCATTAAAAACTATTATTTCAGGTGTGAGTAAAAGCAATGCAACTATCCATCCTAACATTGTCTCAACGCCTGGTATGTTATTCTCAATAAATTGTTATTTCTTTTATTTACTTTCCGAACTAAATGTTGGACTGTATTTTATATGTTCAATGGATCCCTTCATTTAAGAGCTTGGCCTGGGCATGCCTTTCTTTACTAGGTGTTTGCTTGTGCTGCGTCCACATTCCTGTGATTAAATGGGTATCAAGTAGGTGTCATTTTTATAGAAAATACAAAAATGTAGTTTCAAACAAACTGCAAAATCTCAATTCATTTTCATAGGGAAATGCTTTCAATTCTGCAGTAAGTAATTGAAGTTGATTAACTATTTGTCATTTCCACAGGGATATTCTTTCATTTCCATAGTAAAATGCTTTTAAATCTGAAATAAGCTATCAAAATGTAATTCACACGTGCCTTTTTATTTTATTTTTTTATTTGTGGTGGGGGGGGGGGGCAAAATTGCTTTCATGTCTACAATTTCAGTCTTCCCAGGTTCAAGTTAATAAAATAGCTCATAATAAAATAGTCATTTTTCTGTTCGTTTGTATTGAAAAATTATTTCAAATCTGCAATGAAATACAATCATAAAAGCCTTGTAATTTTATGTGAAATGATAGTTTTAAGGCAAAATAAAATTATACTTTTTTCTTATAATTCAGCTTCAATTCCGACTACTCCAGGGTGTGATAAGCTTTGCTCAATAACCGCAGTTGCTAAATCACAATCGCAAATGAACCAAAATGCCAAAATGTGCGCAAAAGGTAATCGAAATACCAACGAAGCGCTCCCAATGACTTGTTGTAGTTTAAACATATCTACCACATGGCAGAAAGGACCTCAGGTAAGATAAGTTATGCCATAAGACATACAATGAATGGAAACCCCATGTATTTTGTTTTGTTTCGTTTTTTTCTCCTTCACAAAGGTTTTTATTTTACCCAAATATTTCAGTTGTTTCTGACAAGTGTTGTTCTAGAGCGATTCAAGTTGATTGTTTCTGCACCATGTAAGCCGGTGTTAATTAAGGGGCGTAAAATATGTTGCACTTTGACATTATCTCTCATGAACAGATTCAATTAAACCAAGTTTGCAATTTTCATTGATGATCTTGTTAACCTCATATTGTGTCCGAAGGATCACCACTTATCCGCGTTTTCATTTTAAATTTTTAAACTACTGGCTTCTGCTACTGCTTCTACTACTGCTGCTACTACTAACTACTGCAGCTGCTACTAACTTCTGATACTGCTGCTGCTAGTGCTACTAGCTACTGTTGCTAATACCAACTACTGTTACTAACAACTGCCACTTACTACTGCTACTAGCTGCTGTTACTGCTGCTGTTACTACTACTAACTACTGCTACTAACTACTGCTACTAACTAACTAACTAACTAACTAACTAACTAACTAACTAACTAACTAACTAACTATCTATCTAACAATTATTATTATTTTATTGGG